CCTGGGGCCGAGGGGTCTCGACACCAAACTCTCCTGGCTCCGAGCCTCCGCTTCCCCCTGCACTGCAGCCTCTGCATCACCAGGAAACAGCCCGTGGATACACAACAAAAGAGTCCAGCAAGACTGCCACTCCATCTTCCTCCATTCCTCCAACGTCTCTCTTTCCCTTTGCCAGACTGTTACAGCACCCTGTGTGGGGTCGCTGCTGGTGGGAGAGAGACGGGAATCTTGTTTCTTGATCAGAAGGCTGGATTTATTGATATATGATATATAATACATTATAACTACACTAAATAGAATAAAGAGAGAGGTTGCAGATGCTAGCTAGGCTAAGAATAGAAAAGAAAGAATCTAAAACAAAGTTGTGTCCAGGGACTCTGTCCCCTAGCTTGCACTGGTGATTGGCCCTTAATTATAAACATAGAAAATGAGCCAATCAAGGTGAACCCTATTACATTCCACAGCAGCTGATAACAATTGTTTACGTTCTCTTTTTGTGGCCCTCAGCTTCCCAGAAAATGCAGAAATCTGAAAGAAAGGATTTCTGTGGAAAAATGTCTGCGACACCAGACCCCCCTTACTGGCCTGTTTCTTCCTTCATCTTCCACTCCTACCCCTTCCCAGGAAAGGCAATGTTCTGTGAAGCTCTCACTCTCCACAAGGGTTAAAAGCTCTCCCAGGCGCCCGGGCTGCTCGCTGCCCCCCCCTTGTCCTCCAGCCAAAAGGCAGACTGAAGAACAGGGGTGTTGCAAAAAAAGGTGCAATAAAATACTCTGCCCAACAAGTCAGAAGTACCTTGTTTACTTCAGTTTGACAAACATTTACAGACTTTCTGCTGCTCCTGCATGACCCCTACTAAAGCAATAGACAATTTAGTGATACTGCTAAAAATCAAAGGAGTAGATGTCAGTTTACACCACACAGGAACCAGGCACGACAATTAACATCTGTTACCGCTTCCTATTTGAGGAGTTAAGAGTAGAAAAGCTGTGTGAAGAATGGCACTACCAAATCCTCATTCCCAAAGATGGCACCATACACATACCCTACAGGGCACGTACAGTGCAGGCCCCTCTTCCATGACGTCAAGTTTCAAGGTAACAGTTCTAGCACGGGCTGCATTCTCTCCGTCTCCAAAAGGGGGGGGGGTAATAAACAGGTCGCTCGATGCTCCCCCACCCTTCCACCGAAGCCGGGCCTACCGTGGATGGGCCACGTGGCTTCCCCTCCCCCAGCCCAGCCAGCAACTGGGCCGGGGGAGAGGCCACACTCACAGAATCACAGAATCACAGAAATTCAAGGCTGGAAGAGACCCTATAAGGTCATCAAGTCCAACCCATGTTCTAACTATTCAACTAGATCATGGCAGCAAGTGCCACATGCAGTCTTTTTTTGAACTCCTCGAGGGATGGTGACTCCACCACCTCACTGGGTAGATGATTCCAGTATCTGACCACTCTTTCTGTAAAATACTTCCTTCTTAATTCTAACTTGCATCTCCCTTGACGCAGCTTGAGACCATGTCCTCGTGTTCCGTCTGTTGTTGCCCGGAGAAAGAGACCAACCCCCAGCTCACCACAGCCGCCCTTCAGGAAGTTGTAGAGAGTGATGAGGTCGCCCCTGAGTCTCCTTTTCTCCAGGCTGAACAACCCCAGCTCCCTCAGTCGTTCCTCATACGGCTTGTGCTCCAAGCCCCTCACCAGCCTCGTTGCTCTCCTCTGGACACGCTCAAGCCTCTCAACGTCCCTCCTAAAGTGAGGGGCCAGAACTGGACGCAATACTGCAGGTGAGGCCTCACCGGTGCCGAGTGCAGGGGAAGAATGACCTCCCTGCTCCTGCTGGCCACACCGTTCCTGATGCTGGCCAGGAGCCATTGGCCCTCTTGGCCACCACGGCACTCTGCTGGCTCATGTTCAGCCGACTGTCACCAGCACCCCCAGGTCCCTTCCCACCTGAGCACTGTCCAGCCACACCGTCCCCAGCTTACATCCTTCCCGCCGGAAATCCCAAGGGGCTCTGAAGGACAAGAGCCCTGCTTGAACCCCTTGGCTTTGTGGGCTCAGAGGCGGATCCAACACCCCGCCGGTCAAACCGGGCGCTCATCTTAAAATCCGACCACCCATTGGTGACCACAGCAAAACAACAGATCCCAGACGGCCCATTTCCGGTCAAACCGCGACAATATTATATTTTTGGTAACTCAGTAAATCGGATATTTTGGGGGTGGAGAACCAACAGGTTTGGCCGAATAAAGAATTGTGTGAAGGGAAATTGAGCTTTTATCACCTCAGCCCCGGGGAAACCTCCCAGAAGCACAGGAAAATGGTGAAATTGGAAAAAGCAGCCACACTTTATTCACATTTACACAGGCAATATTATCAAATATATATAGGATTATTATATTATATTATATTATATTATATTATATCATATCACATCATATCATATTATATTACAGTATATTACAGTATATTACATTAAAATATATTAATATATAATATTATTACTCTATATTATATATAATATTATATATTATATTATATCATATTATATCATATTATATATTATATTATATATTTTATATTATATTATATTATATTATATTATATCATATTACATTATATTGTATTGTATTACATTATATTATATTATATTATATTATATTATATTATATTATATTATATTTTTGGTAACTCAGTAAATCTGATATTTTGGGGGTGGAGAACCAACAGGTTTGGCCGAATAAAGAATTGTGTGAAGGGAAATTGAGCTTTTATCACCTCAGCCCCGGGGAAACCTCCCAGAAGCACAGGAAAATGGTGAAATTGGAAAAAGCAGCCACACTTTATTCACATTTACACAGGCAATATTATCAAATATATATAGGATTATTATATTATATTATATTATATTATATTATATTATATTATATTATATCATATCACATCATATCATATTATATTACAGTATATTACAGTATATTACATTAAAATATATTAATATATAATATTATTACTCTATATTATATATCATATTATATATTATATTATATCATATTATATCATATTATATATTATATTATATATTTTATATTATATTATATTATATTATATTATATTATATTATATTACATTATATTACATTATATTGTATTGTATTATATTATATTATATTATATTATATTATATTATATTATATTATATCATATTACATTATATTGTATTGTATTGTATTATATTATATTATATTGTATTATATTATATTATATTATATTATATTATATTATATTATATTATATTTTTGGTAACTCAATAAATCTGATATTTGGGGGGTGGAGAACCAACAGGTTTGGCCGAATAAAGAATTGTGTGAAGGGAAATTGAGCTTTTATCACCTCAGCCCCGGGGAAACCTCCCAGAAGCACAGGAAAATGGTGAAATTGGAAAAAGCAGCCACACTTTATTCACATTTACACAGGCAAATGAAATATTTAGAATGCAATTTACAAATGCAAATATTTGACAAATATTTACAATGCAAACACTTCCAGTTAATAATTAAAAAAGATAATAATTAAATAATTCCAGTTAGTAATTAAAAAAGATAATAATGAAATAATTCCAGTTAATAATTAAAAAAAAGATCCTCAGGTGTTTGACTGGCACAACACATTTTATCACCCTGAATAAAAAGAGAAACAAAATTAAACTCTGCCTAAAAATTGATTTTTTTCCTCTTTCAGAGGGGAATTTAAGCAGAAAGCTGCGAGTGACAGAACGCTTTTCAAGCCACTTTTGGAATTTTTAAAAAATAAATAAACAGATAAATTATTGGGGCAGGATTTTCAGAGCAACGCAGGTTACTGAGGTGCAAAATAGTAATAATAGTAATAGTAATAATGATAATAGTAACAATAGTGATAGTAATAATGATAACAGTAATAATAATAGGAATAATGATAATAGTAATATTGATAATAGTAATAGTAATAATGATAATAGCAATAATAATAGGAATAAGGATAACAGTAATAGTGACAATAATAATATTAATATTAATATTAATATTAATAATAAATTAGAAATTCAGGGGGAAAAAGCTGAACGAGTTTTTCTTTTTAGCTCGGAGAGATTTTCATTAATATAACTATAAATTTGATTAATCTTTTGTGGAAATAGATTTTAATAAACCATAAACCATAATAACAATAACAATAATAATAATAACAATAATAATAATAACAGAAATTCAGGGGGAAAAAGCTGAAAGAGTTTTTCTTTTCAGCTCGGAGAGGTTTTCATTAATAAAACTATAAATTTTTATTAATCTTTTGTGGAAATAGATTTTAATAACAATAACAAGAACAATAATAATAGTAATAATAATAATAATTTAATTAGAAATTCAGGGGGAAAAAGCTGAAAGAGTTTTTCTTTTTAGCTTGGAGAGGTTTTAATTAATAAAACTATACATTTTATTAATCTTTTGTGGAAATAGATTTTAATGATAATAATAATAATAATAGTAATAATTGTAATAGTAATAATGATAATAGCAATAGTAATAGTAATAATAATAGTAATTATAATAGTAATAATGATAACAGTAATAGTGATAATGATAATAATAATATTAATATTAATACTAATACTACTACTACTAATAATAGTACTACTACTACTACTAATAATAATTTAATTAGAAATTCAGGGGGAAAAAGCTGAAAGAGTTTTTCTTTTCTTTTCAGCTTGGAGAGGTTTTAATTAACAAAACTATAAATTTTATTAATCTTTTGTGGAAATAGATTTTAAAAAAACTAATAACAATAACAATAACAATAACAATAACATTAACAATAATAACAATAGCAATAACAATAAATTTAATTAGGAATTCTGGCCAAAAAAAAGCTGGAGGGATTTTTCTTTTGACCTTGGAGAGGTTTTAATTAATAAAATATAAATTTATGAATCTTTTGTGGGAACAGGATTTAAGGAAACTCTGCCGCTGCCCCTCTCCGGGAGGAAGAACATCCTGTTGACCTCGCTGATGGGAACGTCCCTCAGGGCCGGGATCGCCTCCTCCTGGAATTCCTTCTGCTGCTGCTTCCTGGCAAAGTGATCTGCGAGAGATAAGGGAGAGATAAGGGAACCAGGGCCGGGATCGCCTCCTCCTGGAATTCCTTCTGCTGCTGCTTCCTGCAAAGTGATCTGCGAGAGATAAGGGAGAGATAAGGGAACCAGGGCCGGGATCGCCTCCTCCTGGAATTCCTTCTGCTGCTGCTTCCTGGCAAAGTGATCTGCGAGAGATAAGGGAGAGATAAGGGAACCAGGGCTGGGATCGCCTCCTCCTGGAATTCCTTCTGCTGCTGCTTCCTGGCAAAGTGATCTGCGAGAGATAAGGGAGAGATAAGGGAACCAGGGCTGGGATCGCCTCCTCCTGGAATTCCTTCTGCTGCTGCTTCCTGGCAAAGTGATCTGCAAGAGATAAGGGAGAGATAAGGGAACCAGGGCCGGGATCGCCTCCTCCTGGAATTCCTTCTGCTGCTGCTTCCTGGCAAAGTGATCTGCGAGAGATAAGGGAGAGATAAGGGAACATTTCATGATTTCGTGGCTTCCAGGTACTTTTGGTTTTTGCCCAAAATATGATGTCATTTTTATAATGCAACACTATAAATTTAGCTGCTTGAAAGGATGAAAACCCCACAAGGACTTGCAAAAAAATCAAATATTTGAGTTAAAAAAAGGCTTAAAGGCTTAAAATTTGGGTTTTACTTAAAGGTTTAAAATTTGGGTTTTATTCAAAGGGTTAAAATTTGGGTTTTATTTAAAGGGTTAAAATTTGGGTTTTATTTAAAGGAATAAAATTTGGGTTTATTCAAAGGTTTAAAAGTTGGGTTTTATTTACAGGATTAAAAGCTGGGTTTTATTTAAAGGAATAAAATTTGGGTTTATTCAAAGGTTTAAAAGTTGGGTTTTATTTACAGGATTAAAAGCTGGGTTTTATTTAAAGGCTTAAAATTTGGGTTTATTCAAAGGATTAAAAGTTGGGTTTTATTTCAAGGATTAAAATTTGGGGTTTATTTAAATCTTAAAATTTAAACTTTAATTAAAGGCTTAAATTTGGTTTTTAATCAAAGGCTTAACGTTTGGGCTTTATTTAAAGGTTTAAAAGTTGGGTTTTATTTGGAGGCTTAAAATTTGGGCTTTATTTAAAGGCTTAAAATTTTGGTTTTATTTAAAGGATTAAAATTTGGGTTTATTTAAAGGAATAAAATTTGGGTTTATTTAAAGGTTTAAAATTTGGGTTTTATTTAAAGGCTTAAAAGTTGGGTTTTATTTAAAGGATTAAAAGTTGGGTTTATTTAAAGGCTTAAAATTTTGGTTTTAATTAAAGGCTTAAAATTTGGGTTTTACTTAAAGGCTTAAAATTTGGATTTTATTTAAATGCTTAAATTTTGGTTTTATTTAAAGGAATAAAATTTGGGTTTTACTTAAATGCTTAATATTTGGGTTTTATTTGAGGGAATAAAATTTGGGTTTTATTTAAAGGTTTAAAATTTGGGCTTTATTTAAAGGCTTAAAATTTGGGTTTTATTTAAAGGCTTAAAATTTTGCTTTTATTTAAACGCTTAAAATTTTGCTTTTAATTAAATACTTAAAATTTGGATTTTATTCTCTGCAGATTTCCAGAATTCTGAGTGAAGAATGAAACTTTTCAAAAAGCAACAGAATTACCTGTGATGGTGTGAGTGGAGCTGAGTGGAGCCGTGCTCATCATGTTGATCCCAAAAAGCAAAATGTACCCAAACCCCACGGCCACCAGCAGATAAACGGGCAGGGCAACTGCCCAGTACCTGAGAAAAGGGATTAAAAAATTGACATTTATTGGCAAATCTTAATAATCAATCAGTTTTAATGTTGGTTTTTTGTCTGTGAAGGATTTCTCCAAGAGGAAAAGGAACAGCACCTCTGATTATGGATCCTGACTGCACTGGGGGCAATGAGAAACCATCAGATAAATTCCTTTAAAAAGGTGTTTATTTTGTAATTATGGCCTGAATTTTAGTGTATTTCCACCAGCAAAATGTCAAATGAATCCTAAAACATCCCAAAATTTGAATCCTAAAACATCCCAAAATTATTGATTTCATGGAAAAACAAAACTGGAGCCAATGACAAACCATCAGATAAATTCCTTTAAAAAGGTGTTTATTTTGGAATTATGGCCTAAACTTGAAGTTTAGTGCATTTCCACCAGCAAAATGTCAAATGGATCCTAAAACATCCCAAAATTATTGATTTCATGGAAAAAAAAAACATTTTCCACAGAGTTACATTAAAAAAAGCCTCAGCAACATTGCAGCCCTTTATCATGAGGGAAAATGGATTTCATGCCAGGCTATTATTGAATAATAAAAGGTTTTTTAAAAAGGTGTTTATTTTGTAATTATGGCCTAAACTTGAAGTTTAGTGTATTTCCACCAGCAAAATGTCAAATGGATCCTAAAACATCCCAAAATTATTGATTTCATGGAAAAAACAAAACATTTTCCACATAGTTACATTAAAAAGAGCCTCAGCAAAAAGCAAAATGTACCCAAACCCCACGGCCACCAGCAGATAAACCGGCAGGGCAACTGCCCAGTACCTGAGAAAAGGGATTAAAAATTTGACATTTATTGACAAATCTTAATAATCAATCAGTTTTAATGTTGGTTTTTTGTCTGTGATGGATTTGTCCAAGAGGAAAAGGAACAGCACCTCTGATTATGGATCCTGACTGCACTGGGGGCAATGAGAAACCATCAGATAAATTCCTTTAAAAAGGTGTTTACTCTTTAATTTTTTAATTATGGGCTAAAGTTTAGTGTATTTCCACCAGCAAAATGTCAAATGAATCCTAAAACATCCCAAAATTTGAATCCTAAAACATCCCCAAATTATTGATTTCATGGAAAAACAAAACATTTCCCACATAGTTACATTAAAAAAAGCCTCAGCAACATTGCAGCCCTTTATCATGAGGGAAAATGGATTTCATGTCAGGCTATTATTGAATAATAAAAGGTTTTTTAAAAAGGTGTTTATTTTGGAATTATGGCCTAAATTTGAAGTTTAGTGTATGTCCACCAGCAAAATGTCAAATGAATCCCAAATTATTGATTTCAAGGAAAAACAAAACATTTTCCACAGAGTTACATTAAAAAAAGCCTCAGCAACATTGCAGCCCTTTATCATGAGGGACAATGGATTTCATGCCAGGCTATTATTGAATAATAAAAGGTTTTTTTATTTGAAAATAATGAAGATGAAGGGGTTTAATTGGCTGAACTTACTTTTGAGGCCAGTATGTCAGTCCCAGGGAGAAGAGCCAAGTCTCAGGAACGTAAGCCCAGATGAGGTACAAAACTGCAAAACACAATTAAAAAGTCACCATAAGGCTGATAGTGGTTTAATTTCCTAAATTTTGCTTTTATTTAAACCCAAATCCCAAAAGATTGCAGGATTTGCCTCTCACACACAAACCCTGCCCAGTCCCTGGGACCAGTTTTATATTTAACATTTAATTTCTGATTTCCTCTGAGGGAAATCAGAAATAAATTTTATAAATAAATCAGAATAAATTTATCAGAATAAATAAATCAGAATAAATTTATTCCAATTTAAACTGCAGAAAAACCAACAAAGCCACCCCCAAACACCTCAATAAAAAGGAGTCACAGGAGTCTGAACGGAGATAATATTGAAGCAGAAAATGATCTCACAGAGGACATTTAATGGGAACAGAACTGTAAGCCCAGATAAGGTACAAAACTGCACAACACAATTAAAAAGTCACCATAAGACTGATTAGAGTACCTAAATTTTGCTTTTACTTAAACCAAAATCCCAAAAGATTGCAGGATTTGCCTCTCACACACAAACCCTGCCCAGTCCCTGGGACCAGTTTTATATTTAACATTTAATTTCTGATTTCCTCTGAGGGCAGACAAGGATTTATTCCAATTTAAACTGCAGAAAAACCAACAAAGCCACCCCCAAACACCTCGATAAAATGGAGTCACAGGAGTCTGAACAGAGATAATATTGAAGCAGAAAATGAACTCACAGAGGACATTTAATGGTGGAATTACAGATGTAATGAAAAATGACTGAAAATCCTTCCTGATTCTTCCTGGGACAGGAGCTGGGCCCAACTCCCCGAGGGTGCCAAAGCCCCTCAGCAGGGTCTTGTATTGAAGGATATTTGTAATATCGAAGGATATTTGTAATCTTGAAGGATATTTGTAACCTTTTTTTCGGTTGGAAAAGTGTTTTCTACCCTCCCAAACCTCGGATCCCCAGTGACATGAGGAACCCATCACACCAGCACAGGAAAGCTGATGGAACCCAAAGTATTTTCCGCTGCTGTTGGTCAGATTGACTTAATTTTTATATTTCTTTTTCAGTATTTTGGTGGGGAAGGTAACACCAGCTCTGCTGGCAGGAAATGGCCTCAGAGTGGGATTTGATGGGAGATTGGCAATGAGGAATTGTTCCCTGGCAGGGTGGGCAGGGCTGGTGTGGGGGCCTGAATAGATGTATTGTTATGCACAGAGTCCCTGTTAAGATCTATGTGTGTATGGGACCCCTCAATATCATAGAAGAAAAGACAGCTGAGAGCTGTGGCAGCCTGAGAGCTGGGACTTTGGAATATCAGCCTGAGAGCTGGGACTGCATATGCATTGTAATTGCATAATTGTTAAAAGAAAAGGGGGGAAATGTGGAGGCCTGAATATATGTGTGTGTTAGAATAAGAGGACAGCCGAGAGCTGTGGCAGCCAGAGAGCTGGGACTTTAGAATATCATATGGCCTTTGAGTTAAAGAGCTGGAACAGCAGAAAGCTGCAAGAATATGGCCTTTAAGGAAAAGAGCCTTGGAACATCTAGGGACTTGTATGTGTTTAAAGACAGCCGAGAGCTGTGGCAGCCTGAGAGCTGGGACTGTATAGGGATATGTATATATTCTATGTATGTATCTAAAAAGCCAAGAGCTGTGGCAGCCTGAGAGCTGGGACTGTATAGGGATATGTATATATTCTATGTATGTATGTAAGACAGCCGAGAGCTGTGGCAGCCTGAGAGCTGGGACTGTAGAGGGATATGTATATATTCTGTGTATGTATCTAAGACAGCCGAGAGCTGTGGCAGCCTGAGAGCTGGGACTGTATAGGGATATGTATATATTCTATGTATGTATGTAAGACAGCCGAGAGCTGTGGCAGCCTGAGAGCTGGGACTGTATAGGGATATGTATATATTCTGTGTATGTATCTAAAAAGCCAAGAGCTGTGGCAGCCTGAGAGCTGGGACTGTAGAGGGATATGTATATATTCTATGTATGTATCTAAGACAGCCGAGAGCTGTGGCAGCCTGAGAGCTGGGACTGTATGTGTATTGTCATTGTGTAATTGTTAAAAGAAAAGGGGGGAAATGTGGGGGCCTGAATATATGTATAGTTACGCAGAGAGTCCCTGTTAAGATCTATGTATTGTAAGATCTATTTGTGGGTCCTAGTTGCTCCAAACGAGCTACAGCTGCAAAGTCCTTAGTTGGGCAGCAGCTGTGGCTCCTGAGGGTAACTGGAATAAATAGGGGTGGGTCGAGAGCCCAGAAGGAGCTCCTGAGAAGACACACTGAGAACTGTGCAGCAGAGAAGAACAGCTTGGTGCAGTGTGTGGGACCCCTGAGAAATATGACTGCAACAAGAATGCAACAGGCTGGGATGGAATTCCATCCCTGCATCCCTGGCAGTGCCCAAGGCCAGGCTGGACACTGGGGACAGTGGGAGGTGTCCCTGCCACGGCAGGGGTGGCACCAGGATGAGTTTTAGGGTATTGTGGGAGGAAAGGCTGGCACAGCTGGCATTGCTCACCTGCACAGGAGAAGCTTTGGGCTGAGCTCAGGGCGGCCTTGCAGGGCCTGGAGGAGCCCCAGGAAAGCTGGAGAGAGACAATGGCCAGGGGATGCAGGGACAGCACACAGGGAATGGCTCCACACTGAAAAATTACAGGTTTAGGTGGGATTTTGGGAGAAATATCCTTCCCTGGCAGGGTGGGCGGGGCTGGGATGGAATTCCATCCCTGGCAGTGCCCAAGGCCAGGTTGGACATTGAGGACATTGGAGCAGCCTGGGACAGTGGGAGGTGTCCCTGCCACGGATGAGCTTTAAGGTCCCTCCCAACCCAAACCATTCCATGATTTCCCTTGAATTAAGCAGATAAAGTTTTGCTGTTCTCTAAAGCATGGCCCAGACCATCCCAAAGTAACACCACAACCACCTCCAATGTGAAAACGAGCGTGATTCGGGTCAAAAACGGAATAAAACGTGAGCGCAGCCAAGCAGCACGGCGGGGTGACGGATCCGGCTGTCTGATACTCACTGAAGCCGAACCACGAGCCCAAAAAAAGCGCAAATCCGTAAATCGCCCTTTCCGGCAGCGGGGCCGGAGAGTTCTCAACCATGCCGGGCTCTTCCCGTTAACCTGGCGGGGAGGGCGGAGAACGGAAAAGAGGATGGACACAGGGATTTCCTGGGGAGCTCCTCGGGGGACCCGCGGCTGTGGGGCCGCACCCCGCCCTCACTCCCTGGGACAGGAGCAGGAGGAGGAGGAAGAGGAAGAGGAGGGAGGGAGGGAGGCGCTCCCTTCCCCCGCTCCCGCCTCCGCGCCGCCCGCATCCGGCCACGCACGCAGGCGCGCAGCCCGCGGATTGGTCGCTGCCCGTGACGTCAGAGGGCGGGCGGCCAATGGGCGGCGCGTCCGGCGGGCGGGGCGCGCTGGGGCGGCGGGAGCGGCGGCGGCGCGGCGGCAGCACCGGATCGGGATCGGAGCCGGGATTCGGATCGGGATCGGAGCCGGAGCGGTGCGTGCGCGATGCGGGGATGGATACAGGGATGGAGGGATGGAGGGAGGGAGGGAGGGAGGGAGGGAGTGTGGTGCTCGGCCGCCTTCCCCCGCGCCTCGCCCGGCCCGGAGCCGCCGCTCGCTGCCCGGTGTGTGCCCGGCTCCGTGACGGGCGCTCCCGGGGCGGAGCGCGGTGCCGTGCGCCTCTCCGGGCTCGGGCAGTCCGCACCGGCGGGACAAGGCACGTGAGCGGCCGGCCCAGGTTGTTCCGGGATCGGATGGCGGCGGGGGGGGAGCCCGGGAGCTGCCGGGACGGGGCGGGGTGTGCGGCGACCCGGGATAGAGCCGCGATCGTGGGGTGCAGCCGGGATTCCCGGGATGGAGCCGCGATCGCGGGGTGCAGCCGCGATTCCCGGGATGCAGCCGCGATCGCGGGGTGCAGCCGCGATTCCCGGGATGGAGCCGCGATCGCGGGGTGCAGCCGGGATTCCCGGGATGGAGCCGCGATCGCGGGGTGCAGCCGCGATTCCCGGGATGGAGCCGCGATCGCGGGGTGCAGCCGCGATTCCCGGGATGGAGCCGCGATCGCGGGGTGCAGCCGCAATTCCCGGGATGGAGCCGCGATCGCGGGGTGCAGCCGGGATTCCCGGGGGTCCAGCCGCGATTCCCGACGTGCAGCCGTGACTCACGGGGCTTCAGCCGGGGTGTAGCCGTGATCGCGGGGTGCAGCCGTGATTCACGGGGGTTCAGCCGTGATTCACGGGGGTGCAGCCGTGGTGGTTCCCGGGGGCGCCGCTGTGATTCCCGGGGTGCAGCTGCAGTTCTTGGGGTGCAGCCGTGATTCCCGGGGTTCAGCCGTGATTCCCGGGGTTCAGCCGCGATTCCCGGGGTGCAGCCGGGATGGAGCCGCTATTCCCGGGGTGCAGCCGTGATTCCCGGGGTTCAGCCGTGATTCCCGGGGTTCAGCCGCGATTCCCGGGGTGCAGCCGGGATGGAGCCGCTATTCCCGGGGTGCAGCCGTGATTCCCGGGGTTCAGCCGTGATTCCCGGGGTGCAGCCGCGATTCCCGGGGTTTCAGCCGGGATGTAGCCATGATTCCCGGGGTGCTGCTCCTCGGCCCGGCAGGGATAACGTGTCCCGGCCCCTGTCCCGGTGCAGGTCCCAGTTAGTCTCTGTCCCAGGCTTCCAGCTGGGCTTAGGCTGGCTGTGCTCAGCATTCGGCTCTGCCTAAGTGGCTCAGCATTAAGCTCTGCCTAAGTGCTGCTCCGTTTTCCCACACCCAGCACAGTGAGGTTTAGCAGTGGGATCCTTGGAAGTGTTGGCATCTCCCGGTGTTTGTGTTTCTGCTGTTTCTCACCCTGTGTTTCTCTCAGGGTGATGTGCCATGGCTGATCCTCTCTCCAAGTCCGACCTCGTTGCAGCCTTGGCTCTCTTTGCTGGTGACCCAACCTACTTTCAGCTGGTAAGTGGGGTTGGAGCTCCGTGGGAAGCTGTGACCGTGATTTTTGAAGTTTTTCTGAGCCTTCTGATGTTGACATTCCTGTAAGGAACTTTCTCACACGCTTTCTGTAAATAACTCATTGTTTTGCATTCTTTTGTGGAGGAGGAGAGATTTGCTGGGCTGTTGGTTTGTCCAGTGTCATTGGAGAGGTGGCACTGTCACCCCCCCCAATCCACTGCCACTTTTGGAAATCTATAAATGTTGGAGTCAGAAATGAAGAATTCCTTTTTTACCTTGACAAGAGCAGCGTGTTATTTTGTGTCCTGTAGTGACAGGAAACTTGCAGGATGTTCCAGAGGGGTTTTACCCAAATCTGGCGCTGGCACGGAGCAGGGGCTGCCCCTGGATCCCTGGCAGTGCCCAGGGCCTGGTTGGACACTGGGGTTGGAGCAGCCTGGCACAGTGGGAGGTGTCCCTGCCGTGGGTTATGTTTAAATTCCCTTCCAACCAAAAATCATTCTGTGATTCTCTGATCAGACCTCCAGAGTCACTCCCAGTGCTGGTGAACTCAAGCTGCTGTCTGGCCATGATTCCCTTACAAAACCCCCAAAACTGGGGCAGAGCCAGAGCCTGTGTCCCCTGCCAGCAGCGGGGGGACACTGCTGGGTGCAGCTCCTGTCACACAACCTGCCCAACCTGTTGGTCCCGGGGCGATTCCTGGGGAGCGGCAGCGCAGCCTGACACTCAGAGCCTGTCCCTGCAGGGCATTCAGCTCTGGGCTCCTGGGATTGAGCCTCAGGGCTCCTGGGATTTCAGCTCTGGGGCACTGGGATTGAGCCTCTGGGGCAGTGGGATTGAGCCTCAGGGCTCCTGGGATTTCAGCTCTGGGGCACTGGGATTGAGCCTCTGGGACACTGGGGTTTCAGCTCTGGGGCACTGGGATTGAGCCTCAGGGCTCCTGGGATTTCAGCTCTGGGGCACTGGGATTGAGCCTCAGGGCTCCTGGGATTTCAGCTCTGGGGCATTGGGATTTCAGCTCTGGCTGCCTGGGGTTTCAGCTCTGGGGCACTGGGATTGAGCCTCTGGGGCCCTGGGGTTTCAGCTCTGGGGCACTGGGATTGAGCCTCAGGGCTCCTGGGATTTCAGCTCTGGGCTCCTGGGATTTCAGCTCTGGGGCACTGGGATTGAGCCTCGGGGCTCCTGGGATTTCAGCTCTGGGGCACTGGGATTGAGCCTCTGGGGCCCTGGGGTTTCAGCTCTGGGGCATTGGGATTTCAGCTCTGGGACACTGGGATTTCAGCTCTTGGCCCCTGGGATTGTGTCGGATTTTCGGCTGTTTAGATGGTCTGGAAAGGCCCGAGGTGGCCTTGGGCCGCCCGCGCTCCAAAGGACGAGAAGGGACTTCAGATCTTTTCTCGGTCTCGGTGTTTATTAATTGCTTATCTAAAAGATTTTCTCTTGGCCTGACAGAGTTCTGCTCAGCAGTCAGCCATGGGCACACACTGAGAGCCCCTGGGGCGGTCGTCTATCTTTATACCCGGAGTTACGTATACAATATTTATCATTTTTCTCCAATACCTTTCACCCTTATTAACCAGTACACTTTAGTAAGGTCCAATCCCAGAGTGCCAACACCACCACAGAAGATGGAGGCCAAGAAGAAGAAGAAGAAGGAGAAGGGCACGCCCCAATTCCTCCATCTTACTTCTCTAGACCCCCCTGTACAGAAATCTTAAACCCTGTGTCTCACACTCCAATTAACTTATCCCTTCACCATTCACCCCAGTGAAATCCTCCCGTCCTCATACTGATGTCGTCTCCCCTGTGGGATCAAAGTGCAGCCACCAGACATTTCTGGCAACATTCCAGGACTCCCGAGCCCCCCAGGGGTGGTCTCGGTCACCCTGCACCCCAGTTCTGAGAGGCTGAGATCCCACAGGATTGAGCCTCTGGGGCACTGGGATTTCAGCTCTGGGGCACTGGGATTTCAGCTCTGGCTACCTGGGATTTCAGCTCTGGGGCATTGGGATTTCAGCTCTTGGCCCCTGGGATTTCAGCTCTTGGCCCCTGGGATTTCAGCTTTTGGTTCCTGGGATTTCAGCTCTGGCTTCCTGGGATTTCAGCTCTTGGCCCCTGGGATTTCAGCTCTTGGTTCCTGGGATTTCTGCTCTGGCTTCCTGGGATTTCAGCTCTGGGGCACTGGGATTTCAGCTCTAGCCCTGTGGGATTTCAGCTCTGGGCTCCTGGGATTTCAGCTCTGAGTTCCTGGGATTTCAGCTCTTGGTTCCTGAGGTTTCAGCTCTTGGCCTGTGGGATTTCAGCTCTTGGCCTGTGGGATTTCAGCTCTTGGCCCCTGGGATTTCAGCCCTGGTTTCCCTGGAATTCAGCTCTTGTCTCCTGGGAATTCAGCTCTTGGCCCCTGGGATTTCTTTCAGCTTTTCGTTCCTAGGATTTCAGCTCTTGGTTCCTTGGATTTCAGCTCTGGCTTCCTGGGATTTTAACTCTTGCCCTGTGGTATTTCAGCTCTTGAGTTGAGGGATTTCAGCTCTTGGCCCCTGGAATTTCAGTTTCTGGGATTTCAGCTCTTGCCCTGTGGGACTTCAGCTCTTAACCTGTGGAATTTCAGTTTCTTGTGGGATTTCAGCTCTTGGCCTGTGGAATTTCTCCTCTGTGTTCCTGGAATTTCTCCTCTGGGCCCCTGAGATTTCAGCTCTTGGCCCCTGGGTTTTCGGCTCTTGGCCTGTGGGATTTGAGCTCTTGGCCTGTAGGATTTCAGCTCTGGCTTCCTGGGATTTCAGTTCTTAGTTCCTGGGATTTCACCTTTGGATTCCTGGGATTTGAGCTGTTGGTTTCTGAGGGATTTCAGCTCTTGACCTGTGGAATTTCAGCTCTTGGTTCCTGGGATTTCTGCTGTTGGTCCCTGGGATTTCAGCTCTTGCCCTGTGGGATTTCAGCTCTTGGTTCCTGGGATTTCAGCTCTTGGACTTGTGCAATTTCATCTCTTGGTCTTTGGGACTTCAGCTCTTGACCTGTGGAATTCCAGTTTCTTGTGGGATTTCAGCTCTTGGCCTGTGGGATTTCAGCTCTTGGCCTGTGGGATTTGAGCTCTTGCCCTGTGGGATTTCTGCTCTGAGTTCCTGGGATTTCAGGTTTTGGTTCCTGGGATTTCAGGTCTGGGTTCCTGGGATTTCAGCTCTTGGCCTGTAGGATTTCAGCGCTGGGTTCCTGGGATTTGAGCTCTTGGCTCCTGTGGGATTTCCGCTCTTCCCTTGCGGGATTTCAGCACTTGGCTCCTGGGATTTCAGCTCTGGGTTCCTGGGATTTCACCTCTGGGCCCTGGAATTTCAGCTCTTGACCTGTGGAATTTCAGCTCTTGGTTCCTGGGATTTCAGCTCTTGGACTTGTGGAATTTCATCTCTTGGTCTTTGGGACTTCAGCTCTTGACCTGTGGAATTCCAGTTTCTTGTGGGATTTGAGCTCTTGCCCTGTGGGATTTCTGCTCTGAGTTCCTGGGATTTCAGGTTTTGGTTCCTGGGATTTCAGCTCTGGGTTCCTGGGATTTCAGCTCTTGGGCTTGTGGAATTTCACCAATTGGTTCCTGAGGGATTTCAGCTCTTCCCCTGTGGGATTTCAGCTTTTGGCTCCTGGGATTTCAGCCCTGGTTTCCTGGGATTTCAGCTTTTGGCCCGTGGTTCAGCTCTTGACCTGTGGAATTTCAGCTTCTTGTGGGATTTCAGCTCCTGCCTCCTGGGATTTCAGCTCTTGGGCTGTGGATTTCAACTTTTATTTCCTGTGATTTCAGCTATTTAATTATTCTTATTTGTCTCCTTCCTCCTCTGAGGGGTGTGATGTGAGTTTTTAATGCCTGTGATTCCATTCAGAATTTATTTCCACCAGTGAAGGATTTTTTGGCTGTTTGCTGCTGCCCAAACAAAACTCTTTAAGAGCTCTCAGTTGTCTTTCCGGATGAGCAGATTTTTAAATCACAATTTAGTTTTTTCTCCTCTTTGCTCTTGTGTATCCTGGCCTGTTAAATCCATGAATTTGATAGTTTCTGTATTTCTGTGAAATGATAATGCAGCATTTCCTGTGATACAGAGTGTTCATTAAATCACTCATTTGTGATGTTTGCTAAAATTACAGACTCTGTAGGGATCTATAAATCAGAATAAATAATTTATTTTTCAGCTTGAGGTGCTCGAGTGGGGTTAAACCCCTTAGAAGTAACATGAAAGACTAAATCAACTCCCTTTATTTTGCTGTACATGGTTTTATTTAAATACACATTCAGTGTCAAAATGTAATTATTATTTTTGATTTTTTTTAAAAACTTGGTCACTTTCTTAAACTTTTGAGTCTAATCAGGTCCTCTTGAACACGATTTTGCTGCCTGAATTATGAACTCCTAGAATCCCTTCCTAGTGTGATTGAAAATATTGTTTAAATGTTGTTTTAATAGTGTAAAACTTTTCCTGTCCATTCATAACCTGTGGCCATTTTTTTAATGGGAATCCAGGTAAATATTCTTTTTTTTTCCTCCAAACAAAATTCTTTCTTTGTTCCTGGCTTGGCTTTCTTTGTTTGCTATTGGCTGTGCAATGTAATAAATGGTAAATATATTTATATATTACATATAAATATGTCAATAATGTGTTTATCTTTAGGATCATGGAACCTTTGGACAGACGGTGCCGTGTAAACCTAAAACAGGTATGGAAACAAAACCAATATTCTTCATTTCTTGGATCTTTGGATTGCTATTTTATTTTATTTTTCTTTATTTTGCCTGAAAATTGGTTCATTATTATTTTTTAGCAGAAACATTGTTATATTCTGTTACCCTGGCACAGTTCTCACCCGTTTCTCCTAATATAAATGAAATATTCAGCAATATTTACATAAACGCAGGCAATGAATGCTGTGAGGGTGGAAATTCAAGGCTGGTGGTTTTACCTGTGTAGGTCTAAACACAATTTCCATTTTTTGGGGTTTTTTTGCAGTAATAATTCACCAAAAATCCCCAGTGGCAGAAAAACAGATGGCTCAAATTCAAAATGATATTTTCTGCACCAACCCCTGATTTGTGGGAATAAGCAGATAAACAGCTGTGGAAAGGGAAATATTTTTTGTGTGTTTTTTTGTGGGTGGTTTTTTTTTGGTGTGGTTTTTTTTTTTGTGTGGTTTTTTGGTGTCTTTTCTTTCTCGTAATTTTTTTCGTAATTTTTTTCGCGTAAATTTTTTGCGTAATTTTTTTTGCGTAATTTTTTTTGTGTAATTTTTTTTGCGTAATTTTTTTTTTGCGTAATTTTTCTGTGTATTTTTGTGGGTTTTTTCCTGCCTTTTCCCTGCTTTTTTCCATCTTTTCCCTCTCTTTTTCCTGCCATGCCTTTTTCCTGCCTTGCCTTTCCCCCTTGCCTTTTTCTCATCTTTTCCCCATTTTTTCCCCATCTTTTTCCCATCTTTTCCTGGTCTCTTCCCCTGCCTTTTTCCTTCTCTTTTTCCCTCTCCTTTTCCCCATCTTTTTTCCTGTTTTTTTTTTCCCTGCCTTTTCCTTGCCTTTTCCCCTCTCTTGTATTTTCCCTGTCTTTTTCCCTGTTTTTTCCCATCTTTTTCCTGTCTTTTCTCCTGTCTTTTTTGTTTTTTCCTTTTTTCCCTGCCTTTTTCTCCCTGTCTCTTTTCCCTGCCTTTTTCCTCTGATTTTTCTCTGTTTTTCCCTCTTTTTTCCCCCTGCTTTTCCCCTGCTTTTTCCTGTCTTTTCCCCATCTTCCCCATCTCTTCCCCTGCCTTTTCCCCATCTTTTTTCCTGTCTTTTCCCTTTTCCCTGCCTTTTCTATCTCTTTTCCCCTCCCTTTTTCCCACCTTTTCCCCTTTCTTTTCCCTGTCTTTTCCCTGCCTTTCTCCCTTTTTCCTTGTCTTTTCCCTGCCTTTTTCCCATCCTTTTCCTGTCTTTTCCCTGCCTTTTCTGCTGTGTTCCCCCTTCTATTTTCCCTGTCTTATCTTTTCCCTTTCTTGTCTTTTTCCCTGTCTTTTTCCCTTTTTCCCTGTCTTTTCTCCTGCCTTTTTCCCTGTCTTGTCTTTTCCCTGTCCTTTTCCCTGCCTTATTTTTTCCTGTTTTTTTCCCTTGTCTTTCTCCCTCTCTTTTCCCCCCTCTCTTTTTCTTCTCTTTCCCCTCTCTTTTCCTGTCTTGTCTTTTCCCTTTTCCCTGCCTTTTCCCCTTTTCCCCTGTTTTTTTCCCCCTCTCTTTTCCCCTCCCTTTTTCCCACCTTTCCCCCTCTATTTTCCCTGCCTTTTCCCCTGTCTTGTCTTTTTCCCCTTTTTCCCCACCTTTTCAATGTCTTTTTCCTTTTCCCTCTCTTTTTCCTTTTTCCCTGCCTTTTCCCTGTCCTTTTCCTGTCTTTTCCCTGCCTTTTCCGCTGTATTTCCCCTGTATTTTCCCTGTCTTGTCTTTTCCCTGTCTTGTCTTTTTCCCTTTCTTTTCCCCTGTCTTTTTCCTGTTCTCTTTTCCCCTTTTTCCTTTTATTCCCCGCCTTTTCCATGTCTTTTTCCTGTCCTTTTCCCTGTCTTTTTTCCTGCCTTCTTTTTTCCTGCCTTCTTTTTTCCCTCTCTTTTTTCCTGGTTTTTCTCCCTCTCTTTCCCCCTCTTTTTCTTCCCTTTCCCCTCTCATTTCCCGTCTTGTCTTTTCCCTTTTCCCTGCCTTTTCCCTGCCTTTTTTCCTGTCTTTTCTCTTGTCTTTTTCCCTGTCTTTTCCCCTTTTTCCCTGTCTTGTCTTTTCCCAGCCTTTTTCCCACCTTCCCCTCTCCTTTTCCCTTCTCTTTTTCCCTTCTCCTTTTTCCCCTCCTTTTTTTCCCGTCTTTTTTCCCATCTTTTTCCCGCCTTTTTCCTTATCTTGTCTTTTTCCCTTTTCCCCACCTTTTCCCTCTCTTTTTCCTTTTTCCCTGCCTTTTCCCTGTCCTTTTTCTGTCTTTTCCCTGCCTTTTCCGCTGTATTTCCCCTGTATTTTCCCTGTCTTATCTTTTCCCTTTCTTGTCTTTTTCCCTTTCTTTTCCCCTGTCTTTTTCCTGTTCTCTTTTCCCCTTTTTCCTTTTATTCCCCACCTTTTCCATGTCTTTTTCCTGTCCTTTTCCCTGTCTTTTTTCCTGCCTTCTTTTTTCCTGCCTTCTTTTTTCCTGCCTTCTTTTTTCCCTCTCTTTTTTCCTGGTTTTTCTCCCTCTCTTTCCCCCTCTTTTTCTTCCCTTTCCCCTCTCATTTCCCGTCTTGTCTTTTTCCTTTTCCCTGCCTTTTCCCTGCCTTTTTTCCTGTCTTTTCTCTTGTCTTTTTCCCTGTCTTTTCCCCTTTTTCCCTGTCTTGTCTTTTCCCAGCCTTTTTCCCACCTTCCCCTCTCCTTTTCCCTTCTCTTTTTCCCTTCTCCTTTTCCCCTCCTTTTTTTCCCGTCTTTTTTCCCATCTTTTTCCCGCCTTTTTCCTTATCTTGTCTTTTTCCCTTTTCCCCACCTTTTCCCTTTCTTTTTCCTTTTTCCCTGCCTTTTCCCTGTCCTTTTCCTGTCTTTTCCCTGCCTTTTCCGCTGTATTTCCCCTGTATTTTCCCTGTCTTATCTTTTCCCTTTTTTGTCTTTTTCCCTTTCTTTTCCCCTGTCTTTTTCCTGTTCTCTTTTCCCCTTTTTCCTTTTATTCCCCACCTTTTCCATGTCTTTTTCCTGTCCTTTTCCCTGTCTTTTTTCCTGCCTTCTTTTTTCCTGCCTTCTTTTTTCCCTCTCTTTTTTCCTGGTTTTTCTCCCTCTCTTTCCCCCTCTTTTTCTTCCCTTTCCCCTCTCATTTCCCGTCTTGTCTTTTCCCTTTTCCCTGCCTTTTCCCTGCCTTTTTTCCTGTCTTTTCTCTTGTCTTTTTCCCTGTCTTTTCCCCTTTTTCCCTGTCTTTTCTCTTGTCTTTTTTCCTGTCTTTTCTCTTGTCTTTTTCCCTGTCTTTTCCCCTTTTTCCCTGTCTTGTCTTTTCCCAGCCTTTTTCCCACCTTCCCCTCTCCTTTTCCCTTCTCTTTTTCCCTTCTCCTTTTCCCCTCTCCTTTTCCCTTCTCTTTTTCCCTTCTCCTTTTCCCCTCCTTTTTTTCCCGTCTTTTTTCCCATCTTTTCCCCGCCTTTTTCCTTGTCTTGTCTTTTTCCCTTTTCCCCCACCTTTTCCCTCTCTTTTTCTTTTTTTCCCTGCCTTTTCCCTGCCCTTTTTCTGTCTTTTCCCTGCCTTGTCTTTTTCTCCTGCCTTTTTCTCTTCCTTTTCTCCTGCCTTTTTTCCTTTCTTTTCCCCTTTTCCCTGCCTTTCCCCCTGTATTCCCCCTGTATTTCCCCCTGTATTTCCCCCTGTATTTTCCCATCTTTTCCCTGTCTTTTCCCCATCTTTTTCCCCATCTTGTCCCTGCCTTTTCCCTGCCTTTTCTGCTGGATTTCCCCCTGTATTTTCCCTGCCTTGTCTTTCCCCTGCCTTTTTTCTCTCCTTTTCCCCTCCCTTTTTCCCGTCTTTCCCCTGTATTTCCCCTGTATTTTCCCTTTCTTATCTTTTCCCTTTCTTGTGTTTTCCCTACTTTTCCCTGTCTTTTTCCTTTTCCTGTCTTTTTCCTTTTTTCCCCACCTTTTCCCTGTCTTTTTCCTTTTCCCTGTCTTTTTCCTTTTCCTGTCTTTTTCCTTTTCCTGTCTTTTCCCCTGTCTTGTCTTTTTCCCCCTCTCCTTTTCCCTTCTCCTTTTCCCCTCTCCTTTTCCCTTCTCCTTTTCCCTTCTCCTTTTCCCCTCCTTTTTTTCCCGTCTTTTTTCCCATCTTTTTCCCGCCTTTTTCCTTGTCTTGTCTTTTTCCCTTTTCCCCCACCTTTTCCCTCTCTTTTTCCTTTTTTCCCTGCCTTTTAAAATTATTTATTTATTTATTTATTACAATATGTAATGGTATTTGTTTGGTATTTATAATGCCTGAAATAATGATTTATTTCGATGTTTTTTGGCACTTTGGAATGCTTGAATTCATCCTTTATTTTAATATTTATTGGGATTTATATACCAGTATATATTTTTTTATTATTATTATTATTATTATTATTACTATTGCTATTATTATTATTATTTTTATTATTTATTATATTTGTATTTATATTTGTATTTACATTTATATTTATATTTATATTCATATTTATTTTATTAATATTTATTATAATATTTAATGGTATGTATTTGGTATTTATAATGCCTGAAATAAAGATTATTTCAATGTTTTTTGGCACTTTGGAATGCCTGAATTCATCCTTTATTTTAATATTTATTGGTATTTATATACCAGTATATTTAATTATTATTATTATGATTATTATTACTATTATTATTTATATTTATATTTATATTTATATGTAAATATATAATTATATATTTATATATAAATATATGTTTGTATTTATATTTATAAATATAAATATAAATATATTACATATTTATATATTATAGAAAGATATGATATAATATATAAATATATATAATATATTTTATATATATTATTTATATATTTTATAATATATAAATATATTATATACTTATATATTTTAAATATATAAATATAAATAAATATAAATATAAATATATTTATATTTGTATTTATATTTATATTTATTTCATTGATATTTATTACAATATTTAATGGTATTTATTTTGTATTTATAATGCCTGAAATAATGATTGATTTTAGTGTTTTTGGCCCTTTGCAATGCCTGAAATAAAGATTTATTTCAATATTTTTTTCACTTTGGAATGGCTGAAATAAAGATGATTTCGGTGTTTTTGGCACTTTGGAATACCTGAAATAATCCTTTATTTCATTATTTATTGGTATTTATATACCAGTATATTTAATTTCATTAAATATATATCATTATTATTTTATTTATTTATGTTATTGATATTTATTATAATATTTATTGGTATTTATTTGGTATTTATAATGCCTGAAATAATGATTTATTTCAATATTTCTTGGCACTTTGGAATGCCTGAATTCATCCTTTATTTTAATATTTATTGGTATTTATATACCAGTATATTTAATTTTATTTATTATTATTTTTATTATTATTGTATTTATATTTATATTTATATTTATTTTATTAATATTTATTATAATATTTATTGGTATTTATTTGGTATTTATAATGCCGGAAATAAAGATTTATTTCAATATTTCTTGGCACTTTGGGGTGCCTGAATTCATCCTTTATTTTAATATTTCTTGGTATTTATATACCAGTATATTTAATTTTCTTTATTATTATTCTTATTATTGTATTTATATTTATATTTATATTTATATTTATATTTATATTTATTTTATTAATATTTATTATAATATTTATTGGTATTTATTTGGTATTTATAATGCCTGAAATAATGATTTATTTCAATATTTCTTGGCACTTTGGAATGCCTGAATTAATCCTTTATTTTAATATTTCTTGGTATTTATATACCAGTATATTTAATTTTATTTATTATTATTCTTATTATTATATTTATATTTATATTTATATTTATTTTATTAATATTTATTATAATATTTATTGGTATTTATTTGGTATTTATAATGCCTGAAATAATGATTTATTTCAATATTTCTTGGCACTTTGCACTTTATTTTAATATTTATTGGTATTTATGAACCAGTATATTTAATTTTATTTATTATTATTCTTATTATTGTATTTATATTTATATTTATTTTATTAATATTTATTATAATATTTATTGGTATTTATTTGGAATTTTTAATGGCTGAAATAGAGATGAATTTCGATATTTTTTTCACTTTGCAATGGCTGAAATGAAGATGAATTTCAATATTTTTTTCACTTTGGAATGGCTGAAATAGAGATGAATTCCAATGTTTTTTTCACTTTGCAATGGCTGAAATGAAGATGAATTGCGGTATTTTTTTCACTTTGCAATGGCTGAAATGAAGATGAATTTCGGTATTTTTTTCACTTTGCAATGGCTGAAATGAAGATGAATTTCGGTATTTTTTTCACTTTGCAATGGCTGAAATGAAGATGAATTTCGGTATTTTTTTCACTTTGCAATGGCTGAAATGAAGATGAATTTGGGTATTTTCTCTCCTGCGGTGCTGATGGGTGCCCTGAATTGCCGTTTGCGCAGGGGTGGATCCGTGCGAGGTTTGGTGCTCGCTGCCGGTGCCGCAGCTGAGGGAGATTTGCAACGTGATCAAAATCCGCATCTTCTGGTGCGCGCTGTTCACCAGGGAGAGCACGGCCTTCCTGGACACCTTCTGGTGAGCGCCGCTGGAACGGGGCCTTCTGCAAACATCCCCCTTTTCCAAGGGGATTTCCTTCCAAACATCCCCCTTTTCCAAGGGGATTCCCTTCCAAACATCCCCGTTTTCCAAGGGGATTTCCTTCCAAACATCCCCCTTTTCCAAGGGGATTCCCTTCCAAACATCCCCGTTTTCCAAGGGGATTTCCTTCCAAACATCCCCCTTTTCCAAGGGGATTCCCTTCCAAACATTCCCGTTTTCCAAGGGGATTTCCTTCCAAACATCCCCGTTTTCCAAGGGGATTTCCTTCCAAACATTCCTGTTTTCCAAGGGGATTTCCTTCCAAACATTCCCATTTTCCAAAAGAGTTTCCTTCCAAACATCCCCGTTTTCCAAGGGGATTTCCTTCCAAACATTCCCATTTTCCAAAAGAGTTTCCTTCCAAACATTCCCATTTTCCAAGGGGATTTCCTTCCAAACATCCCCGTTTTCCAAGGGGATTCCCTTCCAAACATTCCCGTTTTCCAAGGGGATTCCCTTCCAAACATTCCCATTTTCCAAAAGAATTTCCTTCCAAACATTCCCATTTTCCAAAAGAGTTCCCTTCCAAACATTCCCATTTTCCAAGGGAATTTAGTTCCAAATATTCCCATTTTCCAAAAGAATTTCCTTCCAAACATTCCCATTTTCCAAGGGGATTTAGTTCCAAACATTCCCATTTTCCAAAAGAGTTCCCTTCCAAACATTCCCATTTTCCAAGGGGATTTAGTTCCAAATATTCCCATTTAACAGGGGATTCCTGCAAATATTCCCATTTTCTAGGGAATTCCTGCAAATATTCCCATTTTCCAAAAGAATTTCCCTCTAAATCCTCCCACTTTTCCAGGGGCAATTCCTCCAAATATTCCCACTTTTCCAAGGGCATTTCCCTCCAAATCCTCCCAGTTTTCCAAGGGCATTTCCCTCCAAATATTCCCATTTTCCAGGGGCAATTCCTCCCAATATTCCCATTTTCCAAGGGAATTTCCTCCAAATATTCCCATTTTTCCAAGGGAATTTCCCTCCAAATCCTCCCAGTTTTCCAACGGCATTTCCTCCAAATATTCCCATTTTCCAGGGGAATTTCCCTCCAAATATTCCCAATATTCCAAGGGCATTTCCCTCCAAATATTCCCATTTTCCGGGGGAATTTCCCTCCAAATCTTCCCACTTTTCCAAAAGAATTTCCCTCCAAATATTCCCATTTTCCAGAGGCAATCCCTCCAAATCTTCCCTGTTCTCCAAGGGCATTTCCCTCCAAACATTCCCAATTTTCCAAGGGAATTCCCTCCCAGTCCTCCCCCTGTTCCGCGTTCCTGTGGGAATTCCGTGCCTGTTTCCATCAGGCTCCGGCTGGTGCAGAAATGCTGGGATCGGTTGAGGTCAGAAGTTCTTGAATCAACAGGAAAAAATAAATTTAAAAAATTCAGATTGAGTTTCTGGAGTTTGGGATCTCTGGGATTCTGGAGTTGGGAATCTTTGGGAATTTGCAATCTTTTGGAGTTTGGAATCCTTGGGGAGTTTGGAGTTTGGAACCTTTGGGATTTTTGGAATCCTTGGGGAGTTTGGAGTTTGGAACCTTTGGGATTTTTGGAATCCTTGGGGAGTTTGGAGTTTGGAATCTTTGGGAATCTGAAATTTGAAATCTTTGGGAGTTTGGAATTTGGAGTCTTGGGGATTGTGGAGTTTGGGAATTTTGGGGAGTTTGGATTTGATGTTTGGAATTTTGGAGTTTGGAATCTCGGGGATTTTGGAATTTGGGATCTTTGGGAATCTGAAATTTGAAATCTTTGGGATTCTGGAGTTTGGGACCTTTGGGAGTTTTGGGATCTTTGGGATTTTGGAGTTTGGGATCTTTGGGAATTTGGAGTCTTGGGGATTGTGGAGTTTGGGAATTTTGGGGACTTTGGATTTGATGTTTGGAATTTTGGAATTTGGAATCTCGGGGATTTTGGAATTTGGGATCTTTGGGGATCTGGAATTTGGAATCTTTGGAATTTTGGAGTTTGGGATCTTTGGGATTTTGGAATTTGGAATCTTTGGAATTTTGGAGTTTGGAATCTTTGGGAATCTGAAGTTTGGAATATTGGGGATTTGGAGTTTGGAATATTGGGGATTCTGGAATTTGAAATCTTTGGGATTGTGGAGTTTGGGACCTTTGGGATTTTTGGATTTTGGAACCTTTAGGATTCTGGAGTTTGGGATCTTTGGGATTCTGGAGTTTGGAATCTTTGGGGATTTTGGAGTTTGGAATTTTTGTGGATTTTGGAGTTGGTAATCTTTGGATTAGTTGGGAATCAGGAGTTGGGAATCTGAGGGATTTGGGAGTTTGGAACCTTTGGGAATCTGAAGTTTGGAATCTTTGGGAATCTGGGAATCTGGATTAGTTTGGAGTTTGGAATGTTGGGGGTTTTGGAGTTTGGAACCTTTGGGATTTTTGGAATCCTTGGGGATTCTGGAGTTTGGAATCTTTGGGAATCTGAAATTTGAAATCTTTGGCACCTTTGGCAGTTTGGGATCTTGGGGAATTTGGATTTGATGTTTGGGATTTTGGAATCTTTGGGATCTTTGGGATTTTTGAGTTTGGAATCTTTGGGAATCTGAAATTTGAAATCTTTGGGATTCTGGAGTTTGGGACCTTTGGGAGTTTTGGGATCTTCGGGATTTTGGAGTTTGGGATCTTTGGGAATTTGGAGTCTTGGGGATTGTGGAGTTTGGGAATTTTGGGGACTTTGGATTTGATGTTTGGAATTTTGGAGTTTGGAATCTCGGGGATTTTGGAATCTTTGGAATCTTTGGGGATCTGAAATTTGGAATCTTTGGAATTTTGGAGTTTGGAATATTTGGGATTTTGGAATTTGGAATCTTTGGAATTTTGGAGTTTGGAGTCTTGGGGATTGTGGAGTTTGCAATCTTTGGATTATTTGGGAATCTGGAGTTGGGAATCTGGGGGATTTGGGAGTTTGGAATCTTTGGGATTTGGGAGTTTGGAATCTTTGGGAATCTGGGAGCCTGGATTCTTTTGGAGTTTGGAATGTTGGGGGTTTTGGAGTTTGGAATCTTTGGGATTTTTGGAATCTTTGGGATCTTTGGGATTTTGGAGTTTGGGATGTTTGGGATTTTGGAATGTTTGGGAATCTGAAATTTGGAATCTTTGGGAATTTGCAATCTTTTGGACTCTGGAATCCTTGGGGATTTTGGAGTTTTGGAATCTTTGGGATTCTGGGAATCTTTGGGGATTTTGGAGTTTGGGATCTTTGGGAATCTGAAATTTGAAATCTTTGGGATTCTGGAGTTTGGGATCTTTGGGATTTTGGAGTTTGGGAATCTTGGGGACTTTGGATTTGATGTTTGGGATTTTGGAGTTTGGAATGTTTGGGATTTTGGAATCTTTGGAATCTTTGGGAATCTGAAATTTGGAATCTTTAGGAGTCTGGGAATCTTTGGGATTTTGGAGTTTGGAACCTTTGGGATTTTGGAGTTTGGGTTCTTTGGGAATCTGAAGTTTGAATCTTTGGGAATCTGGATTCCTTTGGAGTTTGGAATCTTTGGGATTTTGGAATTTGGAATCTTTGGGATTGTGGAGTTTGGGATCTTCGGGAATCTGAAGTTTGGAATATTGGGGATTCGGAGTTTGGAATATTGGGGATTTTGGAATTTGAAATCTTTGGGATTGTGGAGTTTGGGATCTTCGGGAATCTGAAATTTGGGATCTTTGGGAGTCTGGGAATCTTTGGGGGTTCTGGGAATCTTTGGAATCTTTGGGAGTTTGGGATGTTTGGGATTTTGGAATGTGGAACCTTTGGGATTTTGGAATCTTTGGGGATTCTGGAGTTTGGGGAATGTTTGGGATTTTGGAGTTTTGGAATCTTGGGGATTTTGGAGTTTTGGGGATTTTGGAGTTTAGATTCTTTAGGAGTTTGGAATCTTGGGGATTGTGGAGTTTGGAATCTTTGGGAATCTTTGGGAATTTGGAATATTGGGGAGTTTGGAGTTTGGAATCTCTGGGATTTCCGAGTTTGGAATCTTTGGGGATCTTAAATTTGGAATCTTTGGGGAGTTTGGAATCTCTGGGACTGTGGATTTTGGGATCTTTGGGATTCTGGTGTTTGACTTTTTTGGTGTTTTGGGGTTTGGGATCTTTGGGAATCTGAAGTTTGGAATGTTGGGGATTGTGGAGTTTGGGATCTTGGGGATTTTGGAATTTGGGATCTTTGGGAGCCTGGGAATCTTTGGGGATTCTGGGAATCTTTGGAATCTTTGGGAGTTTGGAATGTTTGGGATTTTGGAGTTTTGGGGGTTTTGGAGTTTGGAATCTTTGAGACTTTGGAATGTTTGGGCGTTTGGAATCTTTGGAGATTTTGGAGATTGGATTCTTCAGGAATCTGGGAATCTTTGGATTCTTTTGGAGTTTGGAATCTTTGGGAATCTTTGGGAGTTTGGAATCTTTGGGAATCTGGAGTTTGGAATCTCTGGGATTTCCGAGTTTGAAATCTTTGGGGATTTTGGAATTTGGAATCTTTGGGGCGTTTGGTATCTTTGGGAATCTGGAGTTTGGAATCTTTGGGAATCTGGGAATCTTTGGAATCTTTGGGCATTTGGAACCTTGGGGATTTTGGAGTTTGGAATCTTTGGGGAGTTTGAAATCTCTGGGATTGTGGATTTTGGAATCTTTGGGATTCTGGAGTTTGGAATGTTTGGGATTTTGGAATATTTGGACTCGTTGGGGATCTGGAATTTGGAATCTTGGGGATTCTGGAGTTTGAAATCTTTGGGAGTCTGGGAATTTTTGGAACCTTTGGGATTTGGGAGTTTGGAACCTTTGGGATTTTAGAGTTTGGAGTCTTGGGAATCTTTGGGAGTTTGGAATCTTTGGATTAGTTGGGAATCTGGAGTTGGGAATCTGGGAGATTTGGGAGTTTGGAATCTTTGGGAGTTTGGAATCTTTGGAATATTTCAGAATCTGGAGTTTGGAATCTTTGGGGAGATTTTAGGAGTTTGGATTCTTTGGGAATCTGAAGTTTGGATCTTTGGGAATCTGGGAATCTGGATTCGTTTGGAGTTTGGAATCTTGGGGATTTTGGACTTTGGGAATGTGGGGATTTTGCAGTTTAGGAATCTCTGGAATTTTGGAGTTTGGAATCTCTGGGATTTTGGAATTTGGGATCTTTGGGAATCTGAAGTTTGGAATATTGGGGATTCGGAGTTTGGAATATTGGGGATTTTGGAATTTGAAATCTTTGGGATTGTGGAGTTTGGGATCTTGGGGATTTTGGAATTTGGGATCTTTGGGAGCCTGGGAATCTTTGGGGATTCTGGGAATCTTTGGAATCTTTGGGAGTTTGGAATGTTTGGGATTTTGGAGTTTGGAACCTTTGGGAATCTGGGAATCTTTGGGAATCTTTGGGAGTTTGGAATACTGGGGATTTTGGAGTTTGGGATCTTTGGGATTTTGGAATCTTTGGGGATTCTGGAGTTTGGGATCTTTGGGATTTTGGAGTTCGGAATCTTTGAGACTTTGGAATCTTTGGGAGTTTGGAGTTTTGGGGATTTTGGAGTTCGGATTCTTCAGGAATCTGGGAATCTTTGGATTCTTTTGGAGTTTGGAACCTTTGGGATTTTGGAGTTTGGAACCGTTGGGATTGTGGAGTTTGGAATCTTTGGGGAGATTTTAGGAGTTTGAATTCTTTGGGAATCTGAAGTTTGGAATCTTTGGGAATCTGGATTCTTTTGGAGTTTGGAATGTTGGGGGTTTTGGAGTTTGGAATCTTGGGGAATCTGAAATTTGGAATCTTTGGGATTCTGGAGTTTGGAATCTTTGGGATTGTGGAGTTTGGAGTCTTTGGAATCTTTGGGAGTTTGGAATCTTTGGATTATTTGGGACTCTGGAGTTTGGAATCTTTTGGGATTGTGGAGTTTGGAACCTTTGGGGAGATTTTCGGAGTTTGGATTCTTTGGGAATCTTTGGGAGTTTGGAATCCTTGGGAATCTGGGTGTCTGGATTCGTTTGGAGTTTGGAATGTTGGGGGTTTTGGAGTTTGGAACCTTTGGGATTTTTGGAATCTTTGGAATCTTTGGGGATTCTGGAGTTTGGGATCTTTGGGAGTTTGGATCCTTTGGGATTCTGGAGTTTTGGGATCTTTGGGATTTTGGAGTTTGGGGATCTCGGGGACTTTGGATTTGATGTTTGGGATTTTGGAGTTTGGAATGTTTGGGATTCTGGAATCTTTGGGGATCTGGAATTTGGAATCTTGGGGATTCGGGAGTTTGAAATCTTTGGGAGTCTGGGAATCTTTGGAATCTTTGGGATTCTGGAGTTTGGAATCTTTGGGATTCTGGAGTTTGGAATCTCTGGGGATTCTGGAATTTGGAATCTTGGGGATTCTGGAGTTTGGGAATCTTTGGAAATCTGAAGTTTGGAGTCTTTGGGGAGGTTGAAATCTTTGGCATTTTTGAGTTTTGGGATCTTTGGGATTTTGGAATCTTTGGGGATTGTGGCGTTTGGAACCTTTGGGAATCTGAAATTTGGAATCTTTGGGTTTCTGGAGTTTGGGATCTTTGGGAGTTTGGGATCTTTGGGATTGTGGAGTTTGGAGCCTTTGGGATTGTGGAGTTTGGAACCCTTGGGAGTCGGAAGTTGGGAATCTTTGGGGTTCTGGGCAGCTGACATCTCGGCTATTTCGGTATTTTTGTAGGTGCTGACATTTCAAAAGCAGCAAAACCTTCCCAGCTCTTCCTCTTTGAATTATTGTTATTTTTCTCCTTCCTCCTCTGAAGGGCTGGATGTGAATTTTGAAATTCTGATCCCTCTAAATCTTCATAATTCAGACCCTGAAACAGCCTGGTGTTTGTCTAAATAACAATTCCTTCTGCTGAATTAAAATTCCTTCTCTTAAATAACAATTCCTTCTGTTAAATAATAATTCTTTCTGCTAAATAATAATTCCTTCTATTAAATAACAATTCCTTCTGTTAAATAACAATTCCTTCTATTAAATAATAATTCCTTCTATTAAATAACAATTCCTTCTGTTAAATAACAATTCCTTCTATTAAATAACAATTCCTTCTGTTAAATTAAAATTCCTTCTATTAAATAATAATTCCTTCTGTTAAGTAGCAATTCATTCTGTTAAATTAAAATTCCTTCCATTAAATAACAATTCCTTCTATTAAATAATAATTCCTTCTGCTAAATAATTTCTTCTGTTAAATAACAATTCCTTTTGTTAAACAATAATTCCTTCTATTAAATAACAATTCCTTCTATTAAATAACAATTCCTTCTGTTAAATTAAAATTCCTTCTGTTAAATAATAATTTCTTCTGTTAAATTAAAATTCCTTCTATTAAATAATAATTCCTTCTGTTAAATAACATTTCCTTCTGTTAAATTAAAATTCCTTCTGTTAAATAACAATTCCTTCTATTAAATAACAATTCCTTCTGTTAAATAACAATTCCTTTTGTAAAATAATAATTCCTCCTGTTATAATAATTTATATAATAAAATAATAACGATTTCTTTTGTAAAATAACAATTGCTTCTGTTTCCCCCAGTTTGATGTTCCTGGACTGGGACATGAAGAAAGTTTACGAGTTCAATGTCATGGAAGACCTTGCTGATTTAATTAAAAAAGTCGTTGTAAGTCCTGGATTTGAAATTTCTGAATTTTTCAATATTTGTTAATTCAATCTGTCCCTGATGCGCCGTCTAATCCTGAATGAGACATTTTCCTTTTGCTGGAGTCAAGGCAGAATTATCAATTCATTCTTTGGTAATTAAGAAATTGTGGCTTTATTCCGGGTGGGATCGTTTAGGGAATATTGGCAGTCAGAACTGAAGTTGGTGCGTGAATGATTTAAATAATTAAATAATTTCTTTTTCCATCATTTCACAAACGATATTTTAAATTTGTCTTTGCTGACTTGGAGTAATGGAGAGGAGGATGTGAGGAATTTGTTCCATTTGTGGTGGATTTTATTTTAAATTTCGATAATTAAACATTTCTTCATTTCTTGAAACTGTGTGTCCAACTTCAAGGTTCATATTTTATTTTATGAATTTATGTATATTTTATTTTATAAATATAACGAATTATTTAATTTCTCTTCATTTTCTGGGTTGTAGACCCAAGAGTGAAGTGGGTTTGGAGATTTTGGCAGATTTTGGGGTGTCTCAGATTTTGGGGTGTCTCAGGTTTTGGGGTGTCTCAGTTTTTGGGGTGTCTCAGCTTTGGGGTGTCTCACATTTTGGGGTGTCTCACATTTTGGGGTGTCTCAGATTTTGGGGTTTCTCAGATTTTGGGGTGTCTCAGATTTGGGGTGTCTCAGCTTTTGGGTTGTCTCAGCTTTTGGGGTTTCTCAGCTTTGGGGTGTCTCAGCTTTTGGGGTTTTTGGGATTTGGGGTGTCTCAGCTTTTGGGGTGTCTCACATTTTGGGGTTTCTCAGGTTTTGGGGTGTCTCAGCTTTTGGGGTGTCTCAGCTTTGGGGTGTCTCAGCTTTGGGGTGTCTCAGATTTGGGGTGTCTCAGTTTTTGGGGTGTCTCAGCTTTGGGGTGTGTCAGATTTGGGGTGTCTCAGATTTGGGGTGTCTCAGCTTTTGGGGTGTCTCAGCTTTGGGGTATCTCAGTTTTTGGGGTGTCTCAGCTTTTGGGGTGTCTCAGGTTTTGGGGTGTCTCAGCTTTGGGGTATCTCAGTTTTTGGGGTGTCTCAGCTTTTGGGGTGTCTCACATTTTGGGGTGTCTCACATTTTGGGGTGTCTCAGGTTTTGGGGTTTCTCAGATTTTGGGGTGTCTCAGCTTTGGGGTGTCTCAGTTTTTGGGGTATCTCAGTTTTTGGGTGTCTCAGATTTTGGGGTGTCTCAGATTTGGGGTGTCTCAGCTTTTGGGGTGTCAGATTTTGGGGTGTCTCAGATTTTGGGGTGTCTCAGGTTTTGGGGTGTCTCACATTTTGGGGTGTCTCAGATTTTGGGGTTTCTCAGGTTTTGGGGTGTCTCAGCTTTGGGGTGTCTCTTCTTTGGGGTGTCTCAGTTTTTGGGGTGTCTCAGGTTTTGGGTGTCTCAGTTTTTGGGGTGTCTCAGATTTTGGGGTGTGTCAGATTTGGGGTGTCTCAGATTTGGGGTGTCTCAGTTTTTGGGGTGTCTCATCTTTGGGGTGTCTCAGCTTTGGGGTATCTCAGTTTTTGGGGTGTCTCAGCTTTTGGGGTTTTTGGGATTTGGGAGCTGCACAGGAGCTCAAAGGGCAGAATTTCCTCAGCAGATGTCACAGCAATTCTCTTTTCTCATTTATTTTTCACCAAAATAAATTATTTTATTTAATAATTTAATTATTTTATTTAATAATTTTATTATTTTATTTATTAATTTAAATCATATATTTTACCAAAATTTGGAATTCAGCTGCCCCGGGGAAACCTCCCTGAGCTGAACCTGAGCAGGCAGAAATTCCAATGGTCTCCTCTCAAGAATTGATTTTTAATTTTGTTTTTGTTTTTTAATCCTTCTCAAGAATTGATTTTTAATTTTGTTTTTATTTTTTAATCCTTGTCAAGAATTGATTTTTAATTTTGTTTTTTTTATTTTTCTCTCCTTGTTCCAGAACATTCCCCATTTCATCAGCGGCATCCTGAGGATCGGCGCTGGGATAGAAAATGTGAGTTCTGTGCTTGGGGAGGCTTTGCATCGTTTCAGCCATCAGAAAAAGTTTCTAAATTCAATTTTTGAGGGGTTTATATATTAATTTTTTAATAATTTTAGTCATCACAACAAAGTTTCTAAATCAAATTTTTGGGGGTTTTATGTTTTAATAATTTCAGTCATTACAGGAAAGTTTCTAAATCAAATTTGAGAAGGTTTTTATTATTTTCTTTAATAATTTCAATCATCAGAAGAAAGTTTCTAAATCAGATTTCAGAGGGTTTATTATTATTTTTTAAATAATTTAAATCATCACAAGGAAGTTTCTAAATCAAATTTTTGAGGGTTTTATTTTTTAATAATTTCAGTCATTACAAGAAAGTTTCTAAATCAAATTTCAGGGTTTTTTTTTTAATAATTTCAGTCATCACAAGAAAGTTTCTAAATCAAATTTGAGAGAGGTTATATAATTTTGTAAATAATTTCAATCATCACAAGAAAGTTTCTAAATCAAATTTTTGGGGGGTTATATTCTCTTAAATAATTTCAATAATCATCAGGAAGTTTCTAAATCAATTTTTTGGGGTTTTATTTTTTCATAATTTCAGTCATTACAAGAAAGCTTCTAAATCAACTTTTCAGGGGTTTTGTTTTTAAATAATTTCAGTCATCACAAGAAAGTTTCTAAATGAAAGTTTTGGGGCTTTTATTTTTTAATAATTTCAGTCATTATAAGGAAGTTTCTAAATGAAATTTTTGGGGTTTTATTTTTTTAATAATTTCCATCATCACATGAATGTTTCCAAATCAATTTTTTGGGGTTTTTTATTTTTTTTCAATCGCTTCAGAAGCTTCTAAAAGAAATGCCACCATTTGAATTTTCCCTGTTGCGAGTCTGCTTTGATTTTGTGTCGGTGCAGTGCTGGAGATCTCCAGAGAATTCAGTTATTTGTATTTATTTGGTGATTTCTGTTTAAAAACCGGCAGAACGAAAGCAGAGAGCGGAGCCCCGAGGCCTGGCTGTGCAGATGAATAAATTTATTAATCTAATTTAATTATTAATTAAAATAAAGAAAATTTTTCTGGATTTTCTGTGTTTCCCCCTGCTCAGGGGAGGCTGGACTGGGTGCGCTGTGTGGGGCCCCAGGGCTGCTGCGGGACCTGGAGCTCCAGATAATTCAGATATTTGTATTTATTTGCTGATTTCTGTTTAAAAACCAGCAGAACGAAAGCAGAGAGCGGAGCCCCGAGGCTTGGCTGTGCAGATTAATAAATTTTTCTGGATTTTCTGTGTTGCTCAGGGGCTGTTCCCCCTGGGCGAGGCGCTGGACTGGGTGCGCTGTGTGAGGGCCCCGGGGCTGCTGCGGGACCTGGAGCTCCAGATAATTCAGAAATTTGTATTTATTCGCTGATTTCTGTTTAAAAACCAGCAGAACAAAAGCAGAGAGCGGTGCCCCAAGGCTTGGCTGAGTAGATTAATAAATTTTTCTGGATTTTCTGTGTTTTCCCCGTTGCTCAGGGGCTGTTCCCCCTGAGCGCGGCGCTGGACTGGGTGCGCTGTGTGAGGGCCCCGGGGCTGCTGCAGGACCTGGAGCTCCAGATAATTCATAAATTTGTATTTATTTGCTGATTTCTGTTTAAAAACCAGCAGAACAAAAGCAGAGAGCGGAGCCCCAAGGCTTGGCTGTGCAGATAAATAAATTTTTCTGGATTTTCTGTGTTTTCCAGGGGCTGTTCCCCCTCGGGGAGGCGCTGGACTGGGTGCGCTGTGTGGGGGAGCCGCGGATGCTGCAGGACCTGGAGCAAATGGGCGACTTCGGCCGCGTCATCCTGGCCATGTTCTTCTCCGAGTGTGAGTAGGGGCAGAAATGGGGAAAATCCAATTTCTGTTCTTCTCCGAGTGTGAGTGGGGGCAGAAATGGGGAAAATCCAATTTCTGTTCTTCTCCGAGTGTGAGTGGGGGCAGAAATGGGGAAAATCCAATTTCTGGTCTTCTCCGAGTGTGAGTGGGGGCAGGAATGGGGAAATCATGGCCATGTTCTTCTCCAAGTGTGAGTGGGGGCAGAAATGGGGAAAATCCAATTTCTGTTCTTCTCCGAGTGTGAGTGAATGGGCACAAATGGGGAAAATCCAATTTCTGTGGGAAATCATGGCCATGTTCTTCTCCGAGTGTGAGTGGATGGGCAGAAATGGGGAAAATCCAATTTCTGTTAGAGATCATGGCCATGTTCTTCTCCGAGTGTGGGTGAGGGTGTCCTGGGTGGGCAGAAATGGGGAACAATCCAATTTCTGTTCTTCTCCGAGTGTGAGTGGGGGCAGGAATGGGGAAAATCCAATTTCTGTTCTTCTCCGAGTGTGAGTGGGGGCAGGAATGGGGAAAATCCAATTTCTGGTCTTCTCCAAGTGTGAGTGGGGGCAGGAATGGGGAACAATCCAATTTCTGTTCTTCTCTGAGTGTGAGTGGGGGCAGGAATGGGGAACAATCCAATTTCTGTTCTTCTCTGAGTGTGAGTGGGGGCACAAATGGGGAAATCCAATTTCTGTGGGAAATCATGGCCATGTTCTTCTCCGAGTGTGAATGTGGGGCACAAATGAGGGAAATCCAATTTCTGTGGGAAATCATGGCCATGTTCTTCTCCGAGTGTGAATGTGGGGCACAAATGGGGAACAATCCAATTTCTGTGGGAAATCATGGCCATGTTCTTCTCCGAGTGTGAGTGGGGAGTCCTGGGTGGGCAGAAATGGGGAAAATCCAATTTCTGTTAGAGATCATGAAGTTAGTCCTGGTCTTAGTTCCATGCTGGGCTACTCTACTAGTATAGTTTATTACTACTACTACTACTACTACTATTATTATTAATATTATTACTATTACTACTATTATTATTATTATTATCATTATCATTATCATTATCATTATCATTATCAAATTTCTTTTAGAAACCATGAAATTATTCCTGGTCTTATTTCCATGCTGGGCTGCTGTACTAGTTTGCTACTATTATTATTATCATTATCATTATCATTTTTACTATTATTACTACTACTATCACTATTATTATTACTACTATTATTATTATAATCAAATTTCTTTTAGAAATCATGAAATTATTCCTGGTCTTAGTTCCATGCTGGGCTGCTGTACTAGTTGTTTACTATTATTATTAATATTATTATTATTATTACTATTACTGCAATTACTACTATTACTACTAACATTACTAACATCATAATTTCTGTTATATTATATTACATTACATTGCATTACATTACGTTACATTATATTATAATATATATCGTTATGTTCTATTTTATTATGTTATATTATATTATTATTACTATTATCATTATTATCATCAATATCATTATTATCATTAATCTATAGTATATATTATTCATATGTATATATTATTTACATACACTTATGATATATTATTTATACTGTATTTTAATATGATAATGGATTATAATATGATTGTAATTCATTATTATTATGATCATTGTTATATTGTATATTTGTATCAATCTATAATATGCTTTTCATTATATATTTAATTATAATAGTAAATCTATACTATGTATTATTTATATATTTATTATATATATTATTTATAATATATTCACTTATTATACATGTATTATTATAATATACTTCTAATTTATTGTTATAATAGTCATTTTAGAATATATTGTATATATTAATAATGCATTATTTATAATATATTTAATCATAATAATCCAGCTATAATATATATTATTGTATATATTAATAATGCATTATTTATAATATATTTAATCATAATAATCAAGCTATAATACATATTATTTATATATTATTTATAATATGCATTGTTTAATATAATATGTCTAACTATATTATTACATATAATGTATTATGATTAATTCTAATTGTAATTTTATAATATATTTTTTAAATATTCATAATGTTATTTATAATATGTTTAATAATAATAAATATTTAATATATTATTTATCTATTATTTATAATACACATTGTTTATAATATATCTAACTATAATATTATACATAATAATGTTATTTTAATTGATTCTAATTGTACTTTTATAATATATTATTTTTATATATTTATAATGTTACTTATAATACATTTAATAATAAGTCTATAATATATTATATATTTATAATATGAATTATTTATAATATATCTAATTACATTTTCTATAAGTATAATATTATAGTTTATGGTTATCATTTTATTATATATATTTTTATATATTCGCAATATTATTTATAATATAATGATAATGATGATAATATTGATAATACTGCTAGTAATAATGGCAATAACAATAATAATAATAATAATAATAAAAATGATGATGATGGCAATAATGATGATGATGATGATGATGGTGGCAATAACAATAATAATAATGATGATGATGATGGCAATAATAATAATGATGGTGATGATGATGATGGCAATAATAATAATTATAATAATAATAATGATGATGATGATGGCAATAATAATAATAATGATGATGATGGTGATGGCAATAATAATAATAATAATAATAATGATGGCAATAATGATGATGATGATGATGACGATGACGATGACGATGATGATGACGATGACGATGACGATGGTGATGACGATGATGATGATGATGACGATGACGATGACGATGATGATGACGATGACGATGATGATGGTGATGACGATGACGATGATGATGGTGATGACGATGACGATGATGATCATGATGACGATGACGATGGTGATGGTGATGGTGATGACGATGACGATGATGATGGTGATGACGATGATGATGATGATGATGATGGTGATGACGATGACGATGATGATGACGATGACGATGATGATGACGATGACGATGATGATGATGATGACGATGACGATGATGATGGTGATGACGATGACGATGATGATGATGATGACGATGACGATGATGATGATGATTTGGGCAGCTCCTGTCGCTGAATTTGTCGCAGCTTTTGGGGGCAGCCAGGAGCAGAGCCGGATTTTTAGTGGGAATTCTTTTACTGGGAATTCTTTTAGAGGGAATTCTTTAGTGGGAATTCTTTAGTGGGAATTCTTTTAGTGGGAATTCTTTTAGAGGGAATTTTTTTAGAGGGAATTCTTTTAGTGGGAATTCTTTAGTGGGAATTCTTTAGTGGGAATTCTTTTAGAGGGAATTTTTTTAGAGGGAATTCTTTTAGTGGGAATTCTTTAGTGGGAATTCTTTTAGAGGGAATTCTTTTAGTGGGAATTCTTTTAGAAGGAATTATTTTACTGGGAATTCTTTTAGTGGGAATTATTTTAGTGGGAATTTCTTTAGTGGGAATTCTTTTACTGGGAATTTTTTTGGTGGGAATTCTTTTAGTGGGAATTATTTTAGTGGGAATTTCTTTAGTGGGAATTCTTTTAGTGGGAATTTTTTTGGTGGGATTTTTTTTACTGGGAATTTTTTTGGTGGGAATTTCTTTAGTGGGAATTTCTTTATTGGGAGTTTCTTTAGTGGGAATTTTTTTGGTGGGAATTCTTTTATTGGGAATTTCTTTAGTGGGAATTCTTTTAGAGGGAATTTTTTAGTGGGAATTCTTTAGTGGGAATTTCTTTACTGGGAATTCTTTTAGTGGGAATTCTTTTAGTGGGAATTCTTTTACCGGGAATTCTTTTAGAGGGAATTATTTTAGTGGGAATTTTTTTACTGGGAATTTTTTTGGTGGGAATTTTTTTGGTCGGAATTCTTTTAGTGGGAATTCTTTTAGTGGGAATTCTTTTAGTGGGAATTTCTTTTGTTGGGAATTTCTTTAGTGGGAATTTCTTTTAGAGGGAATTCTTTTAGTGGGAATTCTTTTATTGGGAATTTCTTTAGTGGGAATTTTTTTAGTGGGAATTCTTTTAGAGGGAATTATTTTAGTGGGAATTTTTTTACTGGGAATTTTTTTGGTGGGAATTCTTTTAGTGGGAATTCTTTTAGTGGGAATTCTTTAGTGGGAATTCTTTTAGTGGGAATTTCTTTTGTTGGGAATTTCTTTAGTGGGAATTTCTTTTAGTGGGAATTATTTTAGTGGGAATTCTTTTAGTGGGAATTCTTTATTAGGAATTCTTTTAGAGGGAATTCTTTATTGGGAATTCTTTTAGTGGGAATTTCTTTAGTGGGAATTCTTTCACTGCGAATTCTTTTTTGGGAATTCTTTCAGTGGGAATTCTTTAGTGGGAATTCCTCAGTGGGAATTCTTTATTGGGAATTCCTCAGTGGGAACTCCTTATTGGGAATTTTACGGGCGTTGCCTGCTCCCCAGGGAAGCGCTACATCACCAAGGTGGCCCTGGAGGATTTCGATCTGGTGGCCGATCTCCGGGCCGTGACCTGCGCGAGCTCCAGGAAGGTGAGGGATCCTCTGCGGGGGCGTCTGGGGCCTTCCGGGGGCTCTGATCGCTAAAAACCCAAATTATTAACGAGGAGCATTTCCAAGGCTCGAGCGCTTCATTCCGGCACCAAAAATTCCCTTTGCTACGTGGTGAAATAACGACGCCGAACTCGTTAAATTCAGCAGAAGGTCGTTATTTCATGGGAAGTGGCACCAGAACAGAAAATTTAGTGGATGGAATTTGGTGGATAAAATTTGGTGGATAAATTTTGGTGGATAAATTTTAGTGGATAAATTTTAGTGTTTAAATTTTAGTGTTTAAATTTTCTGTTCTTGGCCCCACTGACATGAAATAATGATCATTACACTGCTGAATTTGAGGAGTTTGGTGCATAAATTTGTTTTTTTCCTGGTCCCGCGTAGATGAAATAATGATTTTTACACTGCTGAATTTAATGAATTTGATGGATAAAATTTAGTGGATAAATTTTAGTGGATATATTTTAGTGGATAAATTTTAGTGGATAAAATTTAGTGGATAAATTTTCTGTTCCTGGTCCCACTGACATGAAATAATGATTTTTACACTGCTGAATTTCATAAATTTCATGGATAAATTTGGTTTTTTCCTGGTCCTATTAGATGAAATAATGATTTTTACACTGCTGAATTTATGAATTTAGTGCATAAATTTTAGTGTTTAAATTTTCTGTTCTGGCCCCACTGACATGAAATAATGATCTTTACACTGCTGAATTTCATTAATTTGGTGCATAAATTGTTTATTCCTGGTCCCATTAGATGAAATAATGATCTTTACACTGCTGAATGTGATGAATTTCATGGATAAATTTGTTTTCTGCTCCCCCAGAAGAGCGAGGCCATGAAGCAGAGAGGAAACGCTGAATTCTCCCAGGGCGCCCTGGGCTCGGCCATCGTGTCCTACAGCAAAGCCATCGAGTTCTGGTGAGAGCTGAGCCCGACTTCTCCACATTTCCCCTCTTTTTGGGCCATTTTGGGCAATTTTGCATCGGCCACTTCAATTAGAGGCCAAATGATTCCTAATTTAAAAAAAAAAATACCCTATATCCCATTTTAATTCTGTTTTAATTCTATTTTTTAGTTGTTTTTTTGCTGCTCCCAAAGTCCTTTTAGGGCTTCAAACGAGCGAGCCTGCAAGAAAAATGAATTATTTTATATGGATAATTTTAGTTTTCATTATTTTAATATAGATAATTTGAATTATTTTAATTTTAAATTCATTCTTTTAATACTTTAAAAATGATTTTAATTCATTGGTGTGGACAACCAAGAACAACCACTGGGGGTGTTTCTGGTGAGAGCTGAGCCCAACTTCTCCACATTTCCCCTCATTTTGGGCCATTTTGGGCAATTTTGCATCGGCCACTTCAATTAGAGGCCAAATGATTCCTAATTTTAAAACAAAGCCCTTTAACCCATTTTAATTCCATTTTTTTCCTGTTTTTTTGCTGCTCCCAAAGTCCTTTTAGGGCTTCAAACGAGCGAGAGGAAGAGGAGCAAGGCTGCAAGAGAAATGAATTATTTTATATGGATAATTTTAGTTTTAATTATTTTAATGTGGATAATTTGAATTATTTTGATTTTAAATGAATTCTTTTAATACTTTAAAAATGATTTTAATCCTTTGGTGTGGACAACCAAGAACAACCACTGGGGGTGTTTGCTTTTGAAATGCTCTTGCAAATGTTGCCAATATTTCTCATTATTTATCTTGATTCCTGTGATGCAAAAGGAGGAAATATTTCAAATATTTGTCATTATTTATCTTTATTCCCTATTTCAAATATTTCTCATTATTTATCTTTATTCCCGTGATGCAAAAAAAGGAGGAAATATTTCAAATATTTCTCATTATTTATCTTTATTCCTGTGATGCAAAAGGAGGAAATATTTTAAATATTTATCATTATTTATCTTTAAATATTTCAAATATTTCTCATTATTTATCTTTATTCCTGTGATGCAAAAGGAGGAAACATTTCAAATATTTATCACTATTTATCTTTATTCCCATGGTGCAAAAGGAGGAAATATTTCAAATATTTATCATTATAGTAAATATTTCAAATATTTCTCATTATTTCTCTTTATTCCCGTGATGCAAAAGGAGGAAATATTTCAAATATTTATCGCTATTTATCTTTAAATATTTCAAATATTTCTCATTATTTATCTTTATTCCCATGGTGCAAAAGGAGGAAATATTTCCAATATTTATCATTATAGTAAATTTTTCAAATATTTATCTTTATTCCCATGATGCAAAAGGAGGAAATATTTCAAATATTTATCATTATTTATCTTTATTCCCTATTTCGAATATTTCTCATTATTTATCTTTATTCCCTATTTCAAATATTTATCATTATTTATCTTTATTCCCACGATGCAAAAGGAGGAAATATTTCAAATATTTCAAATATTTCTCATTATTTATCTTTATTGCCGTGATGCAAAAGGAGGAAATATTTCAAATATTTATCATTATTGATCTTTATTCCAATGAAATATTTCAAATATTTCTCATTATTTATCTTTATTCCCACGGTGCAAAAGGAGGAAATATTTCAAATATTTCTCATTATTTATTAAAGGAGGAAATATTTCAAATATTTATCATTATTTATCTTTATTCCCTATTTCAAATATTTATGATTATTTATCTTTATTCCCACAATGCCAAAGGAGGAAATATTTCAAATATTTCCAATATTTCTCATTATTTATCTTTATTCCAATGTAATATTTCAAATATTTCTCATTATTTATCTTTATTCCCGTGATGCAAAAGGAGGAAATATTTCAAATATTTACACTTATGCCCTGAAAAGGATCAGGATTTTTGATTTATTTCCCCTCCCTTTTATCCACACCAACGTCTCATCACATGCAATTCAATTTCATCAATTAATTTCCAATTTTCTGGGAATAAATCCATTTGAAAATGAATTATTTTATATGGATAATTTTAGTTTTAATTATTTTAATGTGGATAATTTGAATTATTTTGATTTTAAATGAATTCTTTTAATACTTTAAAAATGATTTTAATCCTTTGGTGTGGACAACCAAGAACAACCACTGGGGGTGTTTGCTTTTGAAATGCTCTTGCAAATGTTGCCAATATTTCTCATTATTTATCTTGATTCCTGTGATGCAAAAGGAGGAAATATTTCAAATATTTATCATTATAGTAAATATTTCAAATATTTATCATTATTTATCGTTACTCCAATGAAATATTTCAAATATTTCTCATTATTTATCTTTATTCCCGTGATGCAAAAGGAGGAAATATTTCAAATATTTACACTTATTCCCTGAAAAGGATCAGGATTTTTGATTTATTTCCCCTCCCTTTTATCCACACCAACGTCTCATCACATGCAATTCAATTTCATCAATTAATTTCCATTTTTCTGGGAATAAATCCACTTTAAGCCCATCAAACCCACGTGGCAGGAGGGGTTTGGTCCCAAATCCGAGCTGGTTCCTCCCTTCCTGCACAATTGTGGCGAGCCCAGGGAGGGAAAAGCAGAATTTGGCAGAAAAACAGGAAATGCTGGTAGAGAACAGACGGGGGTTTTTTTTGGAGCTGGATGAAAATAATTTAAATTAATTAGAAGTTGTATTAATGGCCTCAAAATTAAAAAATGATCCCACTGTTCTAATGAACATTCCCATGCAAACCAATGGGGTTTTCTGTGTGGGGTTTCTGCAGGAAAATCTGGTGGAAATTCAATTTTTTTTCTCCTCCTTTGCAGGCAAATCTGGTGAAAATCCCATTTTTATTTTTTTTTTCTCCGTAGGGTTTTCAGTAGGAATAGCCAATATTAACTCTGAGCAGGCTGAGAATATTTTGAATTAATTGGAAGTTGCATTAATGGCCCCAGAACTTAGAAATGATCCCACAGTTATAATGGACATTCCCATACAAACCCATGGGATTTTCTATGTGGAGTTTTTTCAGGCAAATCTGGTGAAAATTCATTTTTTTGCCTTCTCCTTAGGGTTTTCAGTAGGAATAGCCGTTATTAACTAATTGGAAGTTGCATTAATGGCCCCAAAATTAAAAAATGATCCCACGATTCTAATGAACATTCCCATGCAAACCCATGGGGTTTTCTGTGTGGGGTTTCTGCAGGAAAATCTGGTGGAAATTCAATTTTTTTTCTCCTCCTTTGCAGGCAAATCTGGTGAAAATCCCATTTTTATTTTTTTTCTTCTTAGGGTTTTCAATCAGAATAGTCATTATTAACTAATTGGTAGTTCCATTAATGGTCCCAAAATTAAAAAATGATCCCACAATTCTAATGAACGCTCCCATACAAACCAATGGGGTTTTCTGTGTGGGGTTTCTGCAGGCAAATCTGGTGAAAATTCAATTATTTTCCTCTCCGTAAGGTTTTCAATAGAATAGCCATTATTAACTCTGAGCAGGCTGAGAATAATTTGAATTAATTAGAAGTTGCATTAATGGCCTCAAAATTAAAAAATGATCCCACAGTTATAATGGACATTCCCATGCAAACCAATGGGGTTTTCTGTGTGGGGTTTCTGCAGGCAAATCTGGTGGAAATTCAATTTTTTTTCTCCTCCTTTGCAGGCAAATCTGGTGAAAATCCCATTTTTATTTTTTTTTTCTCCGTAGGGTTTTCAGTAGGAATAGCCATTATTAACTCTGAGCAGGCTGAGAATATTTTGAATTAATTGGAAGTTGCATTAATGGCCCCAGAACTTAGAAATGATCCCACAGTTATAATGGACATTCCCATATAAACCCATGGGATTTTCTGTGTGGGGTTTAGGCACACAAATCTGGTGAAAATTCATTTTTTTGCCTTCTCCTTAGGGCTTTCAGTAGGAATAGCCGTTATTAACTAATTGGAAGTTGCATTAATGGCCCCAAAATTAAAAAATGATCCCACGATTCTAATGAACATTCCCATGCAAACCAATGGGGTTTTCTGTGTGGGGTTTCTGCAGGAAAATCTGGTGGAAATTCAATTTTTTTTCTCCTCCTTTGCAGGCAAATTCAGTGAAAATCCCATTTTTTTTTTTTTTCTCCTTAGGGTTTTCAATCAGAATAGCCATTATTAACTAATTGGTAGTTCCATTAATGGCCCCAAAATTAAAAAATGATCCTGCAATTCTAATGAACGCTCCCATACAAACCAATGGGGTTTTCTGTGTGGGGTTTCTGCAGGCAAATCTGGTGAAAATTCAATTATTTTCCTCTCCGTAAGGTTTTCAATAGAATAGCCATTATTAACTCTGAGCAGGCTGAGAATAATTTGAATTAACTGGAAGTTGCATTAATGGCCTCAAAATTAAAAAATGATCCCACAGTTATAATGGACATTCCCATGCAAACCAATGGGGTTTTCTGTGTGGGGTTTCTGCAGGCAAATCTGGTGGAAATTCAATTTTTTTTCTCCTCCTTTGCAGGCAAATCTGGTGAAAATCCCATTTTTATTTTTTTTTTCTCCTTAGGGTTTTCAGTAGGAATAGCCAATATTAACTCTGAGCAGGCTGAGAATAATTTGAATTAATTGGAAGTTGCATTAATGGCCCCAGAACTTAGAAATGATCCCACAGTTATAATGGACATTCCCATACAAACCCATGGGATTTTCTATGTGGAGTTTTTTCAGGCAAATCTGGTGAAAATTCATTTTTTTGCCTTCTCCTTAGGGTTTTCAGTAGGAATAAACATTATTGACTAATTGGAAGTTCCATCAATGGCCCCAAAACATAAAAATGATCCCACAATTCTAATGGACATTCCCATGCAAACCCATGGGGTTTTCTGTGTGGAGTTTTTGCCGGCAAATCTGATGAAAATTCAATTTTTTCATCTCTTTGCAGGCAAATCCAGTGAAAATCCCATTTTTTTTTTTTTTCTCCTTAGGGTTTTCAATCAGAATAGTCATTATTAACTAATTGGAAGTTCCATTAATGGTCCCAAAATTAAAAAATGATCCTGCAATTCTAATGAACGCTCCCATACAAACCAATGGGGTTTTCTGTGTGGGGTTTCTGCAGGCAAATCTGGTGAAAATTCAATTTTTTCTTCTCCTTTGCAGGCAAATCTGGTAAAAATCCCATTTTTTTTTCTTCTACTTAGGGTTTTCAGTAGGAATAGCCAATATTAACTAATTGGAAGTTGCATTAATGGCCCTCAGAAATGATCCCACTGTTCTAATGGACACTCCCATGCAAACCAGTGGGGTTTTCTGTGTGGAATTTTTGCAGGCAAATCTGGTGAAAATTCATTTTTTCCTACAGTTTTTAGTAGGAATAGCCTTTATTAACTCTGAACTGGCTGAGAATAATAATTTGAATTAATTGGAAGTTGCATTAATGGCCCCAAACCTTACAAATGATCCCACTGTTCTAATGGACACTCCCATGCCAACCAATGGGGTTTTCTGTGTGGAGTTTTTTCAGCCAGATCTGCTAAAAATCCAATTTTTTTCCTTCTCCTCAGGGTTTTCAATAGGAATAGCCATTATTAACTAATTGGAAGTTCCATGAATGGCCCCAAAACTTAGAAATGATCCCACAATTCTAATGAACATTTCCATATAAGCCCATGGGGTTTTCTGTGTGGAGATTTTGCAAGCAAATCTGTAAAAATTCAATTTTTTCTTCTCCTTTGCAGGCAAATCTGGTAAAAATCCCATTTTTTTTTTTTTTAACTTAGGGTTTTCAGTAGGAATAGCCAATATTAACCAATTGGAAGTTGCATTAATGGCCCTCAGAAATGATCCCACTGTTCTAATGGACACTCCCATGCAAACCAATGGGGTTTTCTGTGTGGAATTTTTGCAGGCAAATCTGGTAAAAATTCGACTTTTTCTCCTTCTCCTTATAGAAATAACCATTACTAACCCTTCATAATCTGATTTTTTCCCAGCCCTACCAACCACCTGCTGTACGGGAACCGAGCCCTGTGCTTCATCCTCACCCGGCAGTACGGGTGAGTGGCCCTGGGCTGAGCTGCTGGCAAAAAAGGAATAAATTCGGAATAAATTGCATTTTTTAGAGCCCAGAACGTTGTTTCTGGTTGTGGTTGGCCGTGGTTATGGATTTCTGGAGGTGTTTATGACCAGGCTGGGTTTGTTCCTGGAGCAGCCTGGGCTGGCTCTGCTCATTTTGGGGTGCAACTGGGGCAGATTTGAGGTCCTTTCCAGCCCACACCATTTCCAGAGTTTGGAAAAAACCCAAACTATTCCATAGTCTGGAAAAAAAAGCAAATAATTCCATGGTTTCCATATGTGCTGCTGTTTTATTCAGTTTTTAAATTTTATATTCGTATTTATTAGATTGGTATTTATGTAATTTTTAATTTTTGGTATTTTTTGTATTTTTATTATTTTGGGGTTTTTTTTGTATTTGTATTTTTGTATTTATGTTATTTTTGTATTTATTTTATTTATTTTTACACCAGCCTTGAGATTTTTTTAATATATATATATTTATATATATACATAATATATACATATCTTCTATATATTATATATATCTTCTATACTATACATATCTTACGTATCTTATATATGTGATGCATTTTATATATAAAAAATGTATCACATTTATTATATTTTATGTATTATATAGTATATATTATATATTATATAATATATATTATGTATTATGTATTATGTATGATGTATTATATATTATAAATTATATATTATATTTTGATATATATTTCATGTTATATATAATATATATTATATATTTTGATATCTATTTTGTATTATATATCATATATAATATAAAATATATATGATATATCAAATATAAAGCATATAATAAATAATATATATTTATTTTTATATATTATGTGTTATCCAAAGTTTGGAAAAAAAATCAAACCATTCCATGGTTTCCATATGTGCTGCTGTTTTATTTAGTTTTTAAATTTTATATTTGTATTTATTAGATTGGTATTTATGTAATTTTTAATTTTTGGTATTTTTTGTATTTTTATTATTTTGGGGGTTTTTTTTGTATTTTTATTTTTGTATTTATGTTATTTTTGTATTTATTTTATTTAGTTTTACACCAGCCTGGAGATTTTTTTAATACATATATATTTATATATATACGTAAAATATACATGTCTTTTATGTTTTATATATATCTTCTATATTATACATATCTTATGTATCTTATATATGTGATATATTTTATATATATAAAATATATCACATATATATTATGTATTATATATTATATATTATATAATATATTTTTATATATATTTTATATTATATATCATTTATAATATAAAATATATTTAGATATATGTGTTTTATATTATATATAATTTATAATATAAAATATATACGATATACAAAATATAAAACATATAATATATAATATTTTTTTATTTTTATATATTATATATTATCTGATATATAAAATATTGAATATATGTTCTTATTAATATATAATATTATTTATTATATGTATATAAAATGTAGAATATATTTATCTTTATATGCTATATATTTTATATATTCAATATTTATATTATGTATGATATATAATATATAGCATTTATCAAAATATATTAGATATATTATATAATATTATTTGATATATATGTATATAAAACGTTTAAAGCTACAAATAATAAATTCCTTTTCTTTCCCCTCCCTTCTCTCAGGAGAGCTGTCCTTGATGGGAAAAGAGCCATAGTTCTCAAGCCTGACTGGCCAAAGGTTGGTTTCTTGCACGTTCCCAAATTTTATTTTTAATTTTTTTGGAATTTTAGAGCAAGATGAGAACCCAGAGCTGATTTTTAATGAATGGACCCAGAGCTTTGTGGGCTGAGGATTCTGCCAAGTGCAATCTGTTTGGGTTTTTAGGTTTAAAATGTTATTTTGTGGTGCCTGTCAGTGCTGGTCTGATGTGCTTGGCGTGTGTAAAGACAGAAGAAAATGTTTATTATGCTGGGAGTTATCAGCATAAATAAACAGTTTTAAAGTAGCTAAAACTTTTATTTTAAAAATTAATATTTTTATTTATTAAATTAAAAATGAAAACAACTTAAAAAAATACATTTGGATATAGAGGAAAATCCCGGTTAATGGCCAACAGGTATTTCCCAATATTCCTGGCCTGAGGGAGAGTAAATAAGAGATAGTGACAACATTGCAAAGATTAAAGAAGAAAAAGCAAATTTGCTCTTTTCCAAAGCAGAGAAAGCAAAAAGAAATTTCCTATTTTAACTGTTGCAGTTAAAATCTGATTTTTCACCAGCTGAGAGCAGGATTGTATAACCACTGGTGGGTCACACAAAATTCACCTTTTTGCTGCTACCGCTGCAGGTTCGCCTGTTCAATCCCCCTCTCCTTGGCGTGGCTGAACCCTCAAATGGTGAAAGCGAAGGGAGCCAGCCCATCTTTGTGATCAGCATCGACTCCAATTTATTGATCACATCAGCCACCTTTTATAACAGTGTTAATTAAATTCACGCATATGCAAATTCGAGCTCACCATAGGCTACAGAGAAAACTCCAACCCCTCCTTTTGCTTACGATACCTGTGGTTTGTTTATTGAAACCAAGATTTGTCTTCTCACCGTGATATGAAAAGTTCTCAAAACCTTCATATCTGTTCCCAGAGCAGCCAAGGACAGAACGTTTACCTGTTATTTGAAGACTGTCTGAGAATCTTGCTGTTTATAAAAAATGTGCCTGAGAACCTAATTACATTTCATTATTTACAGAATTAAGCCTGGGAACTGCTGCTTACAGCTGATTTTTACTTTTCCATCAGCTGGATGCCTTCATGGCCTCTTTCTTTGAGCCGTGTTGGAACCAGGCTCTCCACACTCCAAATCCCAATTTAATTTATTTTTTATGATGTTTTAGGGTCACCACCACTACTGCAAGGCCCTGCTGAAGTTCTCAAAACTTTCATATCTGTTCCAGAGCAGCCAAGGACAGAGTGTTTACCTGTTATGAGAAGACTGTCAGAGAATCTTTTTGTTTATAAAAATGTTCTTGAGAACCTAATTATTTACAGAATCAAGCCTGGGAGATGCTGCTTACAGCTGATTTTTAATTTTCCATCAGCTGGATACCTTCATGGCCTCTTTCTTTGAGCCATGTTGGAACCAGGCTCTCCACACTCCAAACCCCAATTTCATTTGGATTTTATGATGTTTTAGGGTCACCACCACTACTGCAAGGCGCTGGCGCTGCTGGGCAAGGCGGAGCTGGCGCTGGCGGCCAACGAGAGGGCGCAGGAGCTGTGCCAGGGCAGCCCCGAGGGGCTGCGGGAGCTCGAGCAGCAGAACGAGAAACTCAGGAGGAGCTGCCAGGACAGCCTGGGTAATCCCTGCTGGGGGGGAGCTGGGGTTTGGTCAGAATGAGCTGGGTTTGGTTTTAATTCTGCCTTTTTTGGTAAATTGGACAGCCTGGGTAATCCCTGCTGGGGGGGAGCTGGGGTTTGGTCAGAATGAGCTGGGTTTGGTTTTAATTCTGCCTTTTTTGGTAAATTGGACATCCTGGGTAATCCCTGCTGAATGCAGAACTGGGGTTTGTGCAGAATGAGATTGGTTTTTGATTTTTAATTCTGCCTTTTTTGGTTTTATTGGACATCGTGGGTAATGCAGAGCTGGGGTTTGGTCAGAATGAGCTGGGTTTGAGGTTTAATTCTGCCTTTTTTGGTAAATTGGACAGCCTGGATAATCCCTGCTGGGGGGGAACTGGGGTTTGTGCAGAATGAGCTGGGGTTTGGTTTTAATTCTGCCTTTTTTGGTTTTATTGGACACCCTGGGTAATCCGTGCTGCTGTGGAACTGGGGTTTGGTCAGAACAGCTCGGGTTTCATTTTTAATTCTGCCTTTTTTGGTTTTTATTGGACATCGTGGGTAATCCCTGCTGGTGCACAACTGGGGTTTGTGCAGAACAGCTCAGTTTTTGAGTTTTAATTCTGCCTGTTTTGGTTTTATTGGACACCCTGGCTAATGCAGAGCTGGGTTTGTGCAGAATGAGCTGGGTTTGAGGTTTAATTCTGCCTTTTTTGGTTTTATTGGACATCCTGGGTAATCATCCATGCTGAGGCAGAATTGGGGTTTGTGCAGAATGAGCTTGGTTTGAGTTTTAATTCTGCCTGTTTTGGTTTTATTGGACATCGTGGGTAATGCAGAGCTGGGGTCTGTGCAGAATGAGCTCAGTTTTTAATTTTTATTTCTGCCTTTTTTGGTTTTATTGGACATCCTGGGTAACCATCCCTGCTGGTGTGGAACTGGGGTTGTGCAGAAACAGCCAGGGTTGGAGTGTTAATTCTGCCTTTTTCTGGTTTTATTGGACATCCTGAGTAATGCAGAGCTGGGGTCTGTGCAGAATGAGCTCAGTTTGAGTTTTAATTCTGCCTGTTTTGGTTTTATTGGACATCCTGGGTAATCCCTGCTGAATGCAGAGCTGGGTTTGTGCAGAATGAGCTCAGTTTGAGTTTTAATTCTGCCTTTTTCTGGTTTTATTGGACACCCTGGGTAATCCCTGCTGAATGCAGAACAGGGGTTTGTGCAGAACCAGCTCAGTTTTTGAGTTTTAATTCTGCCTTTTTTGGTTTTATTGGACATCCCGGGTAATGCAGAGCTGGGGTTTGGTCACAATGAGCTCACTTTGATTTTTAATTCTGCCTTTTTTGGTAAATTGGACATCCTGGGCAATCCATGCTGAATGCAGAATTGGGGTCTGTGCAGAAAGAGCTCACTTTTTGATTTTTATTTCTGCCTGTTTTGTTTTTATTGGACACCCTGGGTAATCTGTGCTGCTGTGGAATTGGGGTTTGGTCAGAACAGCTCAGGTTTGATTTTTAATTCTGCCTTTTTTGGTTTTATTGGACATCGTGGGTAATGCAGAGCTGGGGTCTGTGCAGAATGAGCTCAGTTTTTGATTTTTATTTCTGCCTTTTTTGGTTTTATTGGACACCCTGGGTAACCATCCCTGCTGGTGTGGAACTGGGGTTGTGCAGAAACAGCCAGGGTTGGAGTGTTAATTCTGCCTGTTTTGGTTTTATTGGACATCCTGGGTAATCCATGCTGAATGCAGAGCTGGGTTTGTGCAGAATGAGCTCAGTTTGAGTTTTAATTCTGCCTTTTTCTGGTTTTATTGGACACCCTGGGTAATCCCTGCTGAATGCAGAACAGGGGTTTGTGCAGAACCAGCTCAGTTTTTGAGTTTTAATTCTGCCTTTTTTGGTTTTATTGGACATCCTGGATAATGCAGAGCTGGGGTTTGGTCACAATGAGCTCACTTTGATTTTTAATTCTGCCTGTTTTGGTAAATTGGACATCCTGGGTAATCCATGCTGAATGCAGAATTGGGGTCTGTGCAGAAAGAGCTCAGTTTTTGATTTTTATTTCTGCCTGTTTTGGTTTTATTGGACACCCTGGGTAATCCGTGCTGCTGTGGAATTGGGGTTTGGTCAGAACAGCTCGGGTTTCATTTTTAATTCTGCCTTTTTTGGTAAATTGGACATCGTGGGTAATCCCTGCTGGTGCACAACTGGGGTTTGTGTAGAACAGCTCAGTTTTTGAGTTTTAATTCTGCCTGTTTTGGTTTTATTGGACACCCTGGCTAATGCAGAGCTGGGTTTGTGCAGAATGAGCTGGGTTTGATTTTTAATTCTGCCTTTTTTGGTTTTATTGGACATCGTGGGTAATGCAGAGCTGGGTTTGTGCAGAATGAGCTCAGTTTGATTTTTAATTCCACCTTTTTGGTTTTTTTGTAGGTACTGAGCATAAACAGAAGGCGAGGAAGGCTCTGCTTGAGAAAAGGTAAGGGATTGGTTTGAGTTGATTTTTTGTTGATTTTTCATTGATTTTTCATGGATTTTTCATGGATTTTCTGTTGATTTTCTGTTGATTTTTTCATTGGTGTTTCGTGGATTTTTTTGCAAATTTTTTTTGGAGATTTTTCATTGATTTTTTAAAAAAATTAGCAATGTTGTTTCATTCATTTTAAATTGATTTTTAATAGATCTTTTCAGTTCATTTTTCGTTCATTTTTATTGATTTTTCATTGATTTTTCAAAAAAATTAACGATGTTATTTTGGTTCACTTTAAATTGATTTTTCATTGATTTTTTTCATTGACTTTTCATTGGTTTTAATTCATTTTTTTTAAAATTAGCAATATTTTTTGGTTAATTTAAAGTTGATGTTTCATTGGTGTTTAATTGATGTTCCGTTGGTGTTTCGTTGATTTTTAACTGATTTTTAACTGATTTTTTAAAAAAATTGACAACTTTTGGTTTTTTGGTTCATTTTAAATTGATCTCTCGTTCATTTTTTTCATTGATTTTAAAGTGATTTTTAATTGATTTTTAATTTTTTTTTTTAAATAGCAGTGTTTAAGTGCTACATAATGCAGATATTGCATAAATCTTGTTGTCCATCAGGAAACAAAACCAGAATTAATAAATTAATCAGGAATACTGAGGATTTCTATAAGCAGTGTGGGGCCAGGGCATTTTTAACAATTAATTCCCATTATTAATTATTCAACGTCTAAATATATAAATTTAGTCATTCAGCTCCAATTTTTGTAGAAAATTGAGATGGATTTTAAAATGATTTTATTATTTTATTTTATTAATTTTTTTATTTGTGTGTTTTATTTGGTGTTGCTGTGTCTTTGCGCAAGTTCGGAGCTGCAAAAAAAAACCCTGATGAAATTTTTACATTTTTAAATTTATATTGTACATAAAAGTTTCATATTTACACTTTACATTTTTAAATTTTTTATTGCAAATAAATTTTTATATTTGCGCTTTACATTTTTGTTTTTATATTCTATATAAATTATTTTTTTTATATCATACAGAAGTTAATACATAGCACGTATTTATGGGATTACACCCCTCTAAGTGAGTTAAGATTAATTGTCATTAATTTGTTTTTTTCATGGTATATTTGTGTCAAACACGGAGAAAAACCCAGGAATTCTCTTTTTTCCCACATCAGGGACCGAAGTTCCTCCAAATCCCCTCCAGGAACTCCCCAGGAGCAGAAAGGAGCAGAGAGGGAGAGGAGGAGGAGCCGGGAGGAGCCCAAACCCCCCCGGGGGGCCGAAAACCAGGAGAGAGACGAGGTAGGGCCGGAACGTTCCAGAATTCCATCAGGAACTGCCGGAATTCCCTCTGGAAATTCGGGAATTCCACCTGGACCTGCGGGAATTTCTGTTGTAGGAATTCCAGCTGGAACGTTCCAGAATTCCATCAGGAATTGCAGGAATTTCCTCTGAAAATTCGGGAATTCCCTCTGGAAATTCGGGAATTCCACCTGGACCTGCGGGAATTTCTGTTGTAGGAATTCCAGCTGGAACGTTCCAGAATTCCATCAGGAACTGCCGGAATTCCCTCTGGAAATTCGGGAATTCCACCTGGACCTGCGGGAATTTCTGTTGTAGGAATTCCAGCTGGAACGTTCCAGAATTCCATCAGGAACTGCCGGAATTCCCTCTGGAAATTCGGGAATTCCACCTGGAACTGCAGGAATTTCTATTGTAGGAATTCCAGCTGGAACTTTCAGAATTCCATCAGGAATTGCAGGAATTTCTATTGTAGGAATTCCACCTGGAAATTCAGGAATTTCATTTGGAACTGCAGGAATTCTGTCTGGAATTTCAGGAATTCCATCTGGAATTGCAGGAATTCCAGTTGCAGGAATTCCACCTGGAATTTAAAGAATTCCATGTGGAACTGCAGGAATTCTGTGGAATTTCAGGAATTCCAGCCTGAACTTTCTAGAATTCCATCAGGAACTGCAGGAATTCCCTCTGGAAATTCAGGAATTCCACCTGGAACTGCAGGAATTTCTATTGTAGGAATTCCAGCTGGAACTTTCAGAATTCCATCAGGAATTGCAGGAATTTCTATTGTAGGAATTCCAGCTGGAACTTTCCAGAATTCCATCAGGAACTGCAGGAATTTCCTCTGGAAATTCGGGAATTCCCTCTGGAAATTCGGGAATTCCACCTGGACCTGAAGGAATTTCTATTGTAGGAATTCCACCTGGAATTTAAAGAATTCCATCTGGAACTGCAGGAATTCCCTCTGGAATTTCAGGAATTCCCTCTGGAAATTCTGGAATTCCATCTGGAAACACAGGAATTCCACCTGGAGCTTCAGGAATTCCACGTGGAACTGCAGGAATTCCATTTGGAAATTCTGGAATTCCATCTGTAAATGCAGGAATTCCACCTGGAACTGCGGGAATTTCTATTGTAGGCATTCCAGCTGGAACTTCCTAGAATTCCAGCTGGAACTGCAGGAATTTCTATTGCAGGAATTCCAGCTGGAATTTAAAGAATTCCACCTGGAACTGCAGGAATTCTGTCTGGAATTTCAGGAGTTCCATCTGGAATTGCAGGAATTCCAGTTGCAGGAATTCCACCTGGGATTGCAGGAATTGCATCTAAAGCTGCAGGAATTCCACCTGGAACTGCAGCAATTCCCTCTAGAATTTCTGGAATTCCATCTGGAAATTCTGGAATTCCATCTGGAACTGCAGGAATTCGATCCAGGATTGCAGGAATTGCACCTGAAAGTGCAGGAATTCCTGCAGGAATTGCATGTGGAACTGCAGGAATTCCATCTAGAATATCAGGAATTCCACCTGGAACTGAAGGGATTCCATTTGGAAATTCTGGAATTCCATCTGGAAATGCAGGAATTCCAGCTGGAACTGCAGGAATTGGATCCAGGATTTCAGGAATTCCACCTGGAACTGCAGGAATTCCACTTGCAGGAGTTCCACCTGGAGTTTCAGGAATTCCAGCTGGAACTGCAGGAATTGGATCCAGGATTGCAGGAATTCCAGCTGGAACTACAGGAATTCCACCTGGAACTGCAGGAATTCCTGCAGGAATGGCACCTGGAATTGCAGGAATTCCAGCTGGAACTGTAGGAATTCCTGCAGGAATTGCATCTGGAATTGCAGGAATTCCAGCTGGAACTGTAGGAATTCCTGCAGGAATGGCACCTGGAATTGCAGGAATTCCACCTGGAACTGCAGCAATTCCATTTGGAACTGCAGGAATTCCACCTGACAACTGCAGGAATTCCAGTTGCAGGAATTCCACCTGGAATTGCACGAATCTGGAGTTTCAGGAATTCCATCTGGAGCTGCAGGAATTCCACCTGGAACTGCAGGAATTCCCTCTGGAAATTCAGGAATTCCACCTGGAACTGCAGGAATTCCTGCAGGAATGGCACCTGGAACTGCAGGAATTCCCTCTGGAAATTCAGGAATTCCACCTGGAGCTGCAGGAATTCCCTCTGGAATTCCGCTGTGCCTGCAGCTCTGCAATTCTTTCAGCAGTTGTGCATTTTCCTTCCAGAGCCTTCATATATAATGCAATATATGTATACGATATATATTGCATTATATATATATAATGCAATATATGTATACTATATATATTGCATTATATTATATATATAAAGCAATATATATAGTATATACGATATTATACTATAAACCCCCAGAAACTGGGATTTTCAGGTGGTTGTTGGGAGGAGGAAATGGCCACTGCCATGCTGTTTAACTTTTAATTTTTTCGATTTTATTTTTCAGTTTTTCAATTTAAAATTAGTAATAAGTCATTATTAATTTAAAGATATATTTGCGATATTTTTTTGTTGTCTTAGCTGTCATTACTGTAAGAAAATCAATTATAATTGATGTTCTTACAGTATATATATATATATAATAAATATATATGTTATAATATATATTTATAAAATGTATAATGTATTATAAGTATATTATACATATTTAAATATACTATATTATAAATATATTTATATTGATAAATACATTACTTTATACTATTTACATTATAAAATATATATTATAAACATAGGAATATATTAGATTTTTAATAGTTATATCATAGATATAAATATATATTTGTATTTATATATAATAAATTTAGATATAACTATCTATATTATATATAAATATAGATGAAATATATTAAAAAAATACTATAATATATTATATTACTATATTTATAAATATATTTTATTTCTATGTATATATATAATATATAGATGAAATATATTTATGAATATAATATATCAATCTATATTATATATTATAGTGTATTGTGGATATATTATATAGATACATTTTTATCTATTAGTTACATATATTCTATTATATCATATTATATTTTTTATCAATATATAATTTTATATGCATTATGCATATTTTATATTATGAATATATTTTATTTAAATTCATTAATAAAAAAGAATATATAGAGATGTTCTATATATTATATATACTATATTATACTATAAATTAATAATATATGTTATGATACAAATTTACATATTACATTATATACATTATATATACTATGATACATATTTACATATTACACTATATATATTATATATACTATGATACATATTTACATATACTATGATATATATTTACATTTTGCATTTTATATATATAATATATACAATATTATGCTATAAATGTATAATATATATGTTATGATACATATTTACATATTACATTATATATATTATATACTCTGATACATATTTACATATACTATGATACATATTTACATATTATATTATATATACTATATTATACTCTAAATGTACAATATATATATGTTATGATACATATTTACATATTACATTATATATATTATATATACTATGATACATATGTACATATACTATGATATATATTTACATATTGCATTATATATATTATGTATACTATATTACACTATAAATGCATAATATATATGTTATGATACATATTTACATATTGCATTTTATATATTATATATACTATGATACTTATTTACATATACTATGATATATATTTACATATACTATGATATATATTTATATATTGCATTATATATATAATATATACGATATTATACTATAAATGTATAATATATATATGTTCTGATACATATTTACATATTACATTATATATATTATATATACTATGATACATTTATATTATATATACTATGATATATATACTATGATACATTTTTACATATACTATGATATATATTTACATATACTATGATATATATTTATATATTGCATTATATATATATAATATATACGATACTATACTATAAATGTATAATATATATATATGCTATGATACATATTTACATATTACATTTTATATATTATATATACTCTATTATACTATAAATGTATAATATATGTATACACTATGATACATATTTACATATTACATTATATATATATACTATGATACATATTTACATATACTATGATACATATTTACATATTACATTATATTTATTATATTATACTATAAATGTATAATACATATATATATATATATGTTATGATACATATTTACATATTACAATGTCGCCCATGAATTGCAGTATAAAAGAGTGCAGAAAATGCAGAAAATGCTGGTGGATAATTGGAATTTTGAGCCAGAGCAGGGCAGCCCCAGCATATTATACCATATATGTATAATATATATATGTTCTGATACATATTTACATTTTACATTATATATATTATATATACTATGATACATTTTTACATATACTATGATATATATTTACATATACTATGATATATATTTATATATTGCATTATATATATAATATATACTATATTATACTATAAATGTATAATATATGTATACGCTATGATACATATTTACATATTACATTTTATATATAATATATACTATATTATACTATAAATGTATAATATATGTATACACTATGATACATATTTACATATTACATTATAAATATATTATATATACTATGATACATATTTACATATACTATGATACATATTTACATATTACATTATATTTATTATATTATACTATAAATGTATAATATATATATATATATATATGTTATGATACATATTTACATATTACAATGTCGCCCATGAATTGCAGTATAAAAGAGTGCAGAAAATGCAGAAAATGCTGGTGAATAATTGAAATTTTGAGCCAGAGCAGGGCAGCCCCAGCATATTATACTATAAATGTATAATATATATATACGTTATGATACATATTTACACATTACAGTTTAGCCCATGAATTGCAGTATCGAAGAGTGCAGTAAAGGCAGACAATGCCGGTGAATAATTGGAATTTTGAGCCAGAGCAGGGCAGCCCGAGCAGAGCCGTTTGTTTGTCTGTCTGTCCGTCCGAGCAGGGGGAGGGCCCTGGGCTCTGACGTGGCCCTGGGAAAACGAAAGCAGAGCAGGAGGGCAGGAAATGGAAATTTTGGACTTTTCTGGCAGAGAAAAGCAGGCTGGGGCCAGCCCCAGCCGCGCTCAGGGCTTTGCTTTTCCTGTCCCCTGAGAATTCCCTGCGGCTCTGTGAGTTTGTCCTCAGGGGGACATTTCTGTGTCAGCTTTGCGAATTCCCTGCGGCTCTGTGAGTTTGTCCTCAGGGGGACATTTCTGTGTCAGCTTTGCGAATTCCCTGCGGCTCTGTGAGTTTGTCCTCAGGGGGACATTTCTGTGTCAGCTTTGCGAATTCCCTGCGGCTCTGTGAGTTTGTCCTCAGGGGGACATTTCTGTGTCAGCTTTGCGAATTCCCTGCGGCTCTGTGAGTTTGTCCTCAGGGGGACATTTCTGTGTCAGCTTTGCGAATTCCCTGCGGCTCTGTGAGTTTGTCCTCAGGGGGACATTTCTGTGTCAGCTTTGCGAATTCCCTGCGGCTCTGTGAGTTTGTCCTCAGGGGGACATTTCTGTGTCAGCTTTGTGGGTAACAGAAACTGAGGCGAACTTGGGAGGAAAGTCTTTATGAAAGCACTTTGCTAATGGAATTGTTTTTCTTTGCCTCTTGATGAGGAGCATAACGCAGCACGTTTTCATTTCTTCACTTGCTGAGGGGTTTGGGGGTTTTTTGGCTTTGTTGGACCCACTCAGGGAGATGGGTTTGGGGTTTGTAATCTGATATTTCTGCCTGCAGGTGACTGAGCCCCAGAGAGCAGAAGGCAAATGTTCCACGCTGGAGCAGCCTCCAAGTGAGTTTTATTTTGCTTTTTTCGCTTTTTTTATCAAGTCTGAGCCGCTTCTCCCTGTGCTGTGCCATAATTAATGACCAGAAGTTAATTTCCTGTGATTTCCACAACAATGAGCAATCAGCTTTTACTTCTTCCTTTCACACTTCTCTGTTTCTGTCTCAGTTCCTCAGTGCTTCTGCAATTTCAATCTCCTTGACTGAATTCAGAACTGAAACTGGAATTAAAGAGTAAAATCTGAGCCACAGGCTGGAAATGCTTTCCCTCCTCCTGATAAATTAAACAGGAATTCTGTATTGCAATATTTACAATTAATTTGTGATTAACAAATGCTCCACAAAAAATAATGCAGGTAAAGAGGGAAGAGGCCACAAAATATTTGTCAGGGTGGATTTTTAGCTGCAGACTTGCAGAGTTGTGTGGTTTCTTGCTCATGTTTGGGGTTTTTTTAAATGAATAAATCATTTTATAGAGAGAAAAACCCACAGCTGCCCCAGTGCCAGAGTTCCTTTTCTGCACTGAAAGTGAAGCTCAGGCAGTTCTGAGCTGCAAAGGGAAATCCTTCCCTCGTTTTTCCTGAGGGTTTTTACCACCTGCTCTCACTTGTTTGGTGCCCCATTCCTGGAATATTTAAAAAAATTTTAAAGCACAGAAAACTTGAAAATTGGATTTTAGGAAAGCACTGAAGGTGTGTCAGGAAATATTTTTGTTGAATGAGCAGGAGGAGGATCCTGATCTTGGGAGCTTTGTGAGAACCTTGAAGGATTAAAGGATTTCTTGGGAGGTGGAAAATGTGGGGAACGTTGCACAGGAAATCCCAAGATGTTTTTATTGGAAAGATGTCAGGTGGTAATGGAGGAAAAAAATGAAAATTTTATTCTTTTCTAAAGACAGGCTGGGAGAGTCGGGATTGTTCAGCCTGGAAAAGGATTTGGGAGAGCTTGAGATCCTAAAGGGGCTCCAGGAGAGGGACAGGGATGGAGGGACAGGAGCCAGGGAGTGGCTCCAGAGCAGGATTTGATGGATTTGGGGCAGGAATTGTCCCCCGGCAGGGTGAGGAACTCCTGGGTTCCCAAATCCCTTCTCCAGGAGGAGTCTGGCTGTGGCTGGAGCCAGGTTCAGGGACAGAGCTGAGCTCTTGTTGTGCCCGAGGGTTTGGAGGGCTGGGATTGATCCTTGCTGGGAGTTTGTCCCTCAGGATTGAGGGTGCAAACCCAAGGGATTGATACAGGTCAAATAAACCCTGGATTTCAGATGATGGAGATAATGATTAGAGAAAGGGATTTAATCAATCTATTCTAAATCCTGGATTTCAGATGATGGAGATAATGATTAGAGAAAGGGGTTTTATCAATCTATTCTAAATCCTGGATTTCAGATGATGGAGATAACGATTAGAGAAAGGGGTTTTATCAATCTATTCTAAATCCTGGATTTCAGATGATGGAGATAATGATTAGAGAAAGGGATTTTAATCAATCTATTCTAAATCCTGGATTTCAGATGATGGAGACAATGATTAGAGAAAGGGGTTTTATCAATCTATTCCAAATCCTGGATTTCAGATGATGGAGATAATGATTAGAGAAAGGGATTTTAATCAATCTATTCCAAATCCTGGATTTCAGATGATGGAGACAATGATTAGAGAAAGGGATTTTAATCAATCGGTTACACAATGGAAGTCGTTGTAAGTTGTGAGGATTTTTGAATGAATTGGAGATGGGATCTCTGAATTGTTTTTGATGTTGTGATCTATTTTTCTTGTGTTCTACACAGGCAGGAAGGGTGAGTTCAGCTCACATCTTCACTGCAGGGTTCAGAAGGGCCCAGGCCCTCAGTTACAAGACCTTTTAAGGATTTATTAACCAATAAAACACTGCTAATAAGGATATTTATGTTTTTGACCCAATCCTTAAATATTTCACCTCATGGACCCATGTACAGTGTGAGCTTTCTTAGCCAGTCATGTTCTGGCACACAAACCTACAGTGCTGCATTCTCAACTCCTTGTTTACCTCTGCAACTGCTTTTATTTTTATTTCTTAAACTCTAAAACTCTGAACTTTCCTTTCCTCAGCTTAACCTGTCTCTGCTTTAAACCCCAAATCCCCATTGTCCCTTCCAGCCCCTCAGGTTGGAGCCTTTCCCAAGGCCTCAGATCAAATCCTGGGTTTCATTCTGAGCTTTGGCTTCCAGGCCCAAAGTTCTGAGAGTTCCTTTCAGATTCCATCAGAACTGACACTGCAGTGCATTGTTTGTTCAAACAACACTTTAATAATGAAGCAATATTTAATAATGATTATTTTTTAGCCTGGAGAGGAGAAGGCCCCAGAGAGGCCTGAAATCCCCTGGCAGGGCCTAAAGGGGCTCCAGGAGAGGGACAGGGATGGAGGGACAGGGGACAGGAATGGCCCTGAGCTGAGGGAGGTGATGCCAAACCCAAACTTTCCAACCCAACCTGAAGCAGTGAAATTCAGCCATCCTCATCCTCAGTGCTGAGCACACCCAGAGCCTCAACTCCACTTTCCTGTGATTCATTTCTGTCCAGTTTGCTGCGGCTCTTGGGTCTTTTCTCTCAGGAGAGCTGTCCTTGATGGGAAAAGAGCCATAGTTCTCAAGCCTGAGTGGCCAAAGGTTGCTTTCTTGCACATTCCAAAATTTTGTTTTTAATTTTTTTGGAATTTTAGAGCAAGATGAGAACCCAGAGCTGATTTTTAATGAATGGACCCAGAGCTTTGTGGGCTGAGGATTCTGCCAAGTGCAATCTGTTTTGGTTTTTCGGTTTAAAATGTTATTTTGTGGTGCCTGTCAGTGCTGGTCTGATGTGCTTGGCGTGTGTAAAGACAGAAGAAAATGTTTATTATGCTGGGAGTTAACAAAATACTTTAAAAAATACATTTGGATATATAGAAAAATCCTGATTAATGGCCAACAGGTATTTCCCAATAGAGAGACAGGAGCAGCTGCTGGCTGTAGTAAAGTTGTTTTTTGCATGAGTACATCAGTCTTGAAGGCAGAGAGTTCTGAATTCGTCTTGAGTTAACAGTTCTGAAGTTGGGAGATGCAGCTGGCAGTGTGTATTCTGTTGGTATTTGTTGAAGGCAATGCAGTTGTCTTCTGTTAGTTGAGCTGTTTTCTTTGTCTTTTCTACAAATAATCTTCTTTTTAGAAGATTATTTTTTTAAAAAAGATTTCTTTTTAGAAAGAAGATTATTTGTAGAAAATAATCTTTTGTTAATAGGCTGTTGGGCTTCACTGTATAACTGATAAAATCACATCATCTTATTGTGAAATGCTCTGCCCAGAGGGAGGAGCTGAGCATTTTTATTTCAATGTAATCAAGGTTTAGAGCACCACAGTCAGCCTTTTCTTGCTGAATTCTCAGAAGAGCAGCTTTTTTCTCTGCTGGATTCCCAGCAGACCAGGCCTGTCCACACCACCAGATCTTCACAAGAAAACTTCACTTTCCTACAAGATCACTGCTTTAACAGAACTCCATGGTCACCCTAAGGAAACCGCAGGTGCTGCTGGATCAGGCTGCTGCTGACACCGGGACTGAGAGTGACGGCGGAGCCCTGGAAAAATTCAGAGATAGAATCTGAAATGTTGGGCTTTGTGCTCTCCCAGATCAGCTGCACCTGCGGAAGCAGTGTGATAAGTTATGTAATTGTTAGATGTGATGATTGTTTAGTAATTTAATGTAATTATTATATAACCATAAGAAGAATAATGAGAAACTGTGTTGGAAATTCAGAGAGGGGCTAAATTTATGTATACAATGGAACAATATAAATTAATAATTAACATGAAAGTTACATAATGATAGAGTATAAAACATGATCATCTCAGATGTATGGTCGGAGTCAGATTTGGGTTGAATACACCCCTGACACCCAGAGCTCTTAATGAAAAGCACCGCATATAATCCCTGTGATTGAGAGTGACGGTGGAGCCCTGGAAAAAGTTAAAGGTAGAATCTAAAATGTTGGGCTTTGCGCTCTCCCAGATCAGCTGCACCTGCGGAAGCAGTGTGATAAATTATGTAATTGTTAGATGTGATGATTGTTTAGTAATTAAATGTAATTATTATATAACCATAAGAAGAATAGTGAGAAACTGTGTTGGAAATTCAGAGAGGGGCTAAATTTATGTATACAATAGAACAATATAAGTTTAATAATTAACATGAAAGTTATATAATGATAGAGTATAAAACATGATCATCTCAGATGTATGGTCGGAGTCAGATTTGGGTTGAATACACCCCTGACACCCAGAGCTCTTAATGAAAAGCACCGCATATAATCCCTGTGATTATGTGTTTTTGAATGCTAACACGAGGGTGTCAGGTTGTATTTTAACTCTTAGTGTTATTTTGTATTACTGCGTTTTAAACTTTATTTTTATTTTATTCCCTATTAGAGAACTGTTATTTCTACTCCCACATCTTTACCTGAGAGCCCCTTAATTTCAAAATCACAGTAATTTTTAAAGAGGAGGTTTACATTTTCTATTTTGGGGGAAGCTCCTGCCTTCCTTAGCAGACACCTGGCTTTCCAAACCAAGTGTGAAATTCTGTGCTAAAGCTTTCTGGCATCGAATCCCAAACAGAGGCAGAACTGAAAGCTCCCAGGAGTCCCATCCCAAAGCAGCAGCAACAACCCCACACCTTTCCTCTTTCTTCTTCTTCATGGTGATGATGAATGTTATAAATGAGAAGCTTGACTAGGCCAATTTTCAAGCAGCAATCAATTTATTAATTAATACGGCAAAGTATGAGCAATAATTAATTATAATAATCGTATTCATAATTAATGTTAATAATCATATTAATTAATAATCAATTATATTAATTAACATGGTCAAGTATGAGCACTGGTACAGGGGGGGAAGTTTTCCCTCCCACTGCACAGCCATAGTTGAGGCTTCCAGGTATTTATAGGGGCCCTCATCAGCTTTCTCTGCAGGTTCTGTTCCCAATTTTTACTCAGCAGCAGTTT